CATACCTAACTGTGCTTGAGAAGATGTAGGTGAACTGCCGCCTTAAAATTCTGTCCACGTTGTGGAAGTACACTTACGGTACTGTTAGAGAGTTCTAGGATTCTGATCCAGTGACAATGAAGGAATGGTATTTTTTTGTCCTTTTCTTCCTCTTCTTAAAATTATTATTCACTGGTGGGATTTAAGGATCACTGGCTGGCCAGCATTTTATTTCCCATCTCATGTTGCCCTTGAGAAGGTGGTGGTGAGCTGCTGCAATCTACGTGCTGTGGGTTGACCCACAATGCCAATAGGGAGGGAATTCTGGGATTTTGGTCCAGTAACAGTGAAGGAACAGTGCGTTTCCAAGTCAGGATGGTGAGTGGCTTGGAGGGGAACTTGCAGGTGGTGGTGATCCATACATCTGCTGCCCTTATCCTTCTAGATAGAAGTGGCCATGGGTTTCAAAAGTGCTGTCTAAGGATCTTTGGTGAATTTCTGCATTGCATCTTCCAGATGGTACATGCTGCTACTGAAGGTAGTTGGTGGAGGGAATGGATGCTTGTGGATGCGGTGTCAATCAAGTGGACTGCTTTGTCCTGGATGGTGTCAAACTTCTTGAGTGTTGTTGGAACTGCACCCATCCAGGCAAATGAGGAGTATTCCATCACATTCCTGACTTGTGCCTTGTAGATGGAGGATAGGCTTTGGGTAATCAGGAGATGAGTTACTCGTTGCAGTATTCCTGGCCCCGGACTTGCTCTTGTGGCCAATGTGCTTGCGTGATGAGTCCAGTTGAGTTTCTGGTCAATGGAAACCCTAAACATTTTGATAGTAGGGTGTTCAGTGATGTTAACACCAGTGAATATCAAGCAGAGTGGACAAAAACAAAGTTGCTGGAAGAATTCAGCAAGTGTGGCATCATCTGAGAAGGGAAAAACAGAGTTAACATTTCAGGTCCTCAGAACTTCCGGACGCGAAATGTTAACTCTGTTTTTACCTTCTCAGATGCTGCCAGACCTGCTGAGCTCTTCCAGCAGCTTTGTTTTTGTTCCTGATTTACAGCATCTGCAGTTCTTTTGGTTTTCATCAAGCAGAGGGGTTTAGTTTATCTCTTATAGGACATGGTCATTGTCTGGCATTTGTGTGGCTCAAATGTTACTTGCCACTCATCAGGCCAAGCCTGGATATTGTCCAGACCTTGTTGTATTTGAACCTAGACTGCTTCAGTATAAGAGGAATCACGAACAGTGCTGAACATCAGTGAATATTCCCACTTCTGACCTTAGGTTTGGAGGGAAGGTTCATTAATTAATCAGCTGAAGATGGTTGGGCTAGCACACTACCCTGGGGAACTCCTGCAGAGATGTCTTGGAGTTTGTCCCCGATATCCATTGATTCCAGTACTGCTATGGATCCTTGATGCCAAACTTGTTTGAATGTGGCCTTGATGTCAAGGGATGTCACTCTCACCTCACCTCCGGAATTCAGCTCTTTTGTCCATGTTTGAGTCAAGGATTTAATGAGGTCAAGAGCTGAGTGACCCTGGTGGAACCCAAAATGGGCATCACCGAGCAGGTTATTGTTGAGCAGGCGTTGCTTGATAGCACTGTTGATGACATTTTCCATCACTTTACCGATAATTGAGAATACACCGATGGGGCTGTAGTTGGCAGGATTAGATTTGTCCTGCCCTTTGTGTACAGGACATACCTAGGCAATATTCCACAATGTTGGGTAGATGCCAGTGGTGTAACTGCAATGGAACAACTTGGCTAGGGGAACAGCAAGTCCTGAAACACAAGTCTTTAGTTCTGTGGCCAAAATAGGGTCTGGGCCCAATGCCTTCAACTGTTTCTTGATATCACATGGAGTGAATTGAATTGGCTAAAGACTGGCATCTGTAATGCTGGGGACCATTGGAAGATATTGTTCCCAGAATAGTTTGGTAGTTGGAGGGGAACTTGCAAGTGGTGGTGTTCCCATGTATCTGCTGCCTTGTCTTTCTAGATGGTAGAAGTGATGAATTTGGAAGGTGTTGTCATAAGCCTCTTAATGAGTTGCTACAGTGCATCTTACAGATGGTACCTACTGTGGCCACTGGGTCAATGGTACAGGGCGTGAATGTTTAAAATGGTGAATGGAATGCCAATCAAACAGTCTGCTTTATCCTGGATGAAGTTGAGCTTCTCATAATTGGAGCAACACTCATTTAGCTAAGTGGACAGCCTTTCATCACACTCCTGACATGTGATTCTTAAATAGTGGACAGGCTTTATGGAGCCAGAAGGTGAGTTATATGACACAGAATTCCCAACTACTGACCTAGTCTTGTAGCCAAAGTACTTACATTGCAAATGATTAGAATTATGTCAGCTTTTCACACACACCAGCATTTAGGGACTGTGAATTTTAGCCCTTGAAATCGAGCACCCACACCCCCACAGCCCACCGGCTTTTCAGACATCATCATGTGCTTTTGCAATTTAAGATTCTGCCCACTGTCTCATGAAGCACCTCCTTGGTTAACCTGCCTGTAAAGTTTACAAGATAAGGAAGCTTTAAATCTTCTTTCTTGGGACCTAAAGATGATGTATACCACTATTAAGCCAAGCTAAAACATTATGCCCTTATCTGTTCACCTATGAAAAAAGCTGTCCAAATAACATTTTTATGAACTAGATTGACAAGTTATTTGGAACAAATGTGCTTAATTACAAAACAGTGGATGGACAGGATGGTTTAGACTGAAGCAGATTCTGATCAATCCCATTACATGGTTTCTGTGTGTTATCTGACAGAGTTACATCTAGCCTAGAAGAATGCTAGCGGTTCTACTGAAAACATAAGCTACAATTTCCAGGAGATGGGAAGAATTGCATCCCAGTCACAGACTGATGACAGTTATAGGTTACATAACCCTGAAATAAACATGTACTTCTTCTCCCCCCCTTGTGCAGAATTCCAATAACTGTAATCCATTACCTTTTTTTTGAAATCTCAGAATTCCAAAGATATTGGGACCCATTTTACCTCTGACATAAATAGCCATGGAATTTAAATATAATTTTTGTGTGCAAGTGTTTATTTATTGCTTAATTTGTCCCTTCTTAGGAACATATTGTAGGAATACTTTGCAAGCATCACCCATTCTAGGGAGAAACATTTCTGAACATTGAGTACTTAGAGCAGTAGGTGTCATGCAATCTCAGAGCCATTTCTATCCAAGGCTTTTATCTTTAAAGAAGTTGTTTTAATGACATTCGTTTACTGGCAGTATTTTTATTCTGAAAGAGAAAATATTAGTTTTCCTCAGAGCCACTTCTTTCTTATTCTGTTCAACTTGGTGCTAGTTCTCCTTCGGATTCAGGCACATTTAAGTGGATTGAGGGATGTGAGCGAGTGCATAGATTAGCTTCTAAAGAAGGGCCCAGTGCCACATGGATCTCAAAATTACTATACCGAAACCCAAAGAGATATTCAGGCCAATAAAAGCAAAACACTCCGGCTGGTGGAATTTTGAAACAGAAACAGAGAGCTGGAGAAACTCGGGTCTGGCAGCATTTGTCAGGGGTGGCATGGTGGCTCAGTAGTTAGCACTGCTGCCTCCTAGTGCTAGGGACCTGGGTTCAATTCCGCCCTCAGGCAACTGTCCGTGTGGAGTTTTTGAAATGTTAAAGTGTTAATATCTGTTCTGCTGACATGTAAGAAATTAGGTGCTTCGTGGGCGCCCCTGGGGTCTTGCAGACAAAAGGTGGTAATCTAATTATACTCTGCTCTCTGTAAATGTTGAATTAAGGCTAAAAGAATAAGGAATTATCTAGTTTTACACATTGTTTTTGGGCGGCTGACCTTTGTTTTACTGTTAGATGATTAAGTTACGTACTATCACTGTTGCTAGGCATGTGACTATGGGGGAGTAAAAAATTGTATCTTGCATACATGACTGACTGTGATGTAAAATCCTATATAAAGGGAGGATGGTTCGCTTATTAGACAGCATCACTTCACGCGGCTCCGCCAGCCCTGTGAAGATTGTTAAGTGATCCTCCAAAGCTTGTACTTGCTTAAATAAACTGTGGCTATTCACAGAAGTTGGCGTATTGCATTTGTATCAAGTGCGAAGGAATCTCCTAAAAGGGAATCTAACAAGTGCTGCTGAAAAGGGTTTGAAATATACATGTTTTCACAATTAAAGGCAAGACAGCAGGTCAGAGTTCATTCCACTACATCAAGAGGGAAAAAAATCGGAGTTTCAACATGCTCTTTCTGTTGTATTTTTTAAATGATTCCATGGTGTTTTTGAATAGATTTACTAGCACCATGTATTCTGTGGAATTTAAATGTTACCCACCCCGCTGACCAGAACCAGACTTCGGAAGGTTTCACCGATCCGGTCGCTTTCAGAACCCGATCAAGAACCCAGAAAAGGCAAGAGACTAACCCTTTTCAGACACATAGGGGACAGAACAATCTATCCTATAATACTGACACAGACAGTAGTAGGGGACATGACGAGCCTCAACATTACGACCCTGAAGACGAACAATGGTCCGGTGAGGTTATAGAGGGACCGGTCGATTCCAGTAATTCTTACCAAAGAAGAAAGGGAAAGGGTTCCCATGAACGCAGACAAAGACAGTTCCCTACGCGGACAGTCCCTAACCCAAATCCTGGACAGGGAGGCCAGGCCACCATGCAGGTTTACACATCTTCGAAACCCCAAGAGATGTGCTTAATCATGTCCCAAGCCCCAAACCGAAAAACAAGCCTGGAGGATTTTATTGATTACATTATAGGAACGATCCAAATGTATCAGGCCACGCCTCAGGATCTTTTCTGTCTGTGCTGTATGGCCAGTGAGGGATCTAGATGGAAGGTCCATTTGGGACATGATGATTGGGTGGCCTTTGCTGGGGCAGTTCCCCAGCCAGGGGCCCAAATCCAAGCAATCAGGGGGGCTCTTCAAAGGACCCTGCAACAACCGGTGGATATAACTAAAGTTTTGGAATGCCTCCCAGAGCAGGGAGAGGAGGGTTCAAATTTCTGGGATCAGTTCTGCTCCACATCGCCACCTATGCAGGTGACACTGCTTATAATGCAGGAAACCCTTCACCTCAATTTAATGCCCTACTGTTACAGTGTATTCCAGAAAAGGTTGCCACCGCTATTAGGACCAACAATATGGATTGGCCGGATAACACCCACCTGCAAATGAGAAGGACGCTTACTTATTACTGGAATAGCAATAAAGAGTCTAAACCAACGAAGGTCAAATATGAAATGGTACAGCGTCCTCCTCATCAGTCCCGTCACAGGGGCTCAGATACTCCTGTTATAGACCCTGACGCCCTCAGAGGCCATCAAATGGAACCCCAGTATTGCGTCCCGGGATGGGTCGATAGATATGGCCATGGGTATACCACTCACCCAAATGGTCCCAGTGCACCTCTTTATGGGCCATCCTATGCCCCTTCCCTCCCTTTCCGTAACCATAACATCTACCCGCCCCATAGTAGCTCTGCTCCTATGATGCTGCTTGGCCTGCTGTGTTCATCCAGCCCTGCACCTTGTTGTCTCCCATAGTAGTCCGTCCCGGTTGCCAACACCAAAGTCAACACAGAGCTGTTTTAAATGTGGCGGCAGGGATCATTGGCAGTGAGACTGTCCGCAGATACAGCAACAAAATAGACCCCAGGGCAGGAGACAACCTTTCTCTACCAGCAACCCTTTCTCAGCCTGACTATCCTCCCTTCTGAATTTCCCCATATTGACTAAGGACCCTGAGGATGAGCCAATAGTATGCCTGACCGTTGATTGATACCGGAGCCACAGCTTCAACTCTTGAAACCTCCTGTCTACGCCAGCATGGGTTTAAGCTCTCACCCGTCTCCATGAACCTTAGCGGTCTAACTGGGCAGGAGAGACCATACCCCCTGACTGAACCACTAACTGTCCAATTCGGCCCCCAGACCTGCACTGTCCAGTTCGCCCAGACCCCTGATTTAGGGATTAATCTGGCAGGAAGAGGTTTGTTGTGTTCCCTCTGAGTCGAAATTCTTTGTCTTAAGGGTATCACCATTAAAAATAATATCACAAAGAGACAATTTTGGATTTATTGCTCTCCCCAATGGTGGGCTGTCGATTTGAGGCCGGAGGATTTTACTCCTCCTCTGCAGGCCCCTAATTTCCATGTAACCCTTTGTTATGACTCCACTGGAGCTTCCACTGAGCTGTTAGCCGCCTTTGCTCCCTTTCTAGGGTCGACTGTCACTGATACCATTACAGGACACATTGAAGGTAAGGAGGGATCAGCCTTCTTGGTGGACGTTCCCGTCCACCTCTGGCACCAACCAGGTTTAGTTTCTCCCCATATCACCTTGTCTGTGAAGAAGGGATATAAAGCAAAGACCCTGGGATTCTTAGCTCACCGCTTACAGCAGCAGTCAGACCCCAGTGTCACTGATATGCCCCAACAACTGACCGAGGGGAGCTTAACTTATTATTCTAGCCCTTTCACTGTAATGGGCCCACTCTGCCACCATCAACCCCAACACGACCCTTCGGAAGAACCCTTTCCCGATCTCTGGTCGATCTCTAAACATGAAGTAGGATGCACCCCCGTGGAGCCTATAAAGATCCAGATTATACCAGGAACGAAACTGCCTTCAATACCTCAGTACCCCCTAAGGCCAGAGGCAGTAGAAGGGATAACACCCTTGATTGAGTCGTTCCTCCAGCAAGGCGTTCTAGTTCCCTGCCAATCGCCCTGCAATACCCCCATTCTACCTGTGCCAAAACCAGGATACCCGGAATGGAGATTAGTGCAGGATCTCAGGCAGATCAACAAAATAGTCCAGCCTTTACACCCGGTTGTGCCGAATCCTGCGACGATTCTTAGCAGCATCCCCGCCAATGCCTGTGTTTTCACCCTAGTTGACTTACAGCATGCTTTCTTTGCTATCCCTCTAGCAGCAGATTCCCAATATTTGTTTGCCTTTACCTTCAAGGGCCAGCAGTACACTTGGACGCGCCTCCCTCAGGGATTTGTCCATTCGCCCACCTTATTCTCCCAGGTATTGCACCGGCAGCTTTCAGAGCTTTGGCTCCTTTACGGCTCTACCATTGTCCAATATGTTGATGACTTGCTCCTAGCTAGCTCTTCGGAATCTGCTAACATTGCAGATACCAACCGTCTCCTGAACGGTCTCCATTCTTGGGGGTATGTCATACCGCACACCAAGGTTCAGCGCCAAGTCAAATTCCTGGGAACTTTGCTCAGTACTTCTGATAGGCAATTAACCCCGGAACGTATCGCACCCATCCTAGCGACCCCTCTGCCCACTAGCCCCAAGCAAATGCGTGCCTTCTTAGGCTTAGTTAACTACTGCCGACAGTGGCTCCCTAACGTAACATTACTCACCAAGCAGTTAACCTCTTTGGCCTCAAGCAAGGCTCCAAAGATCTTCAGCCTATCGGAAGAGCAAAGGTCAGCCTTCACTGAGTTAAAAACGGCCGTTGTATGCCAGTATCCTAGAGGACTGTGCAACCGCTGTTTTAACCCAAACCCACGGGGGTTGCAGGAGACCAGTGGCCTACTACTCGACTCGTCTTGACCCTGTAGCCATGGGTCTCCCACCTTGCTCACAAATTCGTCCCGCTATCTACTCCCTTGTAACGGCCGCTTCCAATATTACTCTCCAGCAACCCCTGATGGTCTATTCGTCACATGCTATTGTAGCCCTCCTGACTTCCCATCAGACCCAACATCTTACACAGGCACGACTAAGTTGCTATGAGGTAGCTCTTCTTAATAACCCCCTTCTGACTTTCTCCTACTGCTCAACTGTCAACCCAGTGACCTTCCTGGATACCCCACCAGAAGAGCTGCTAGAACCCCCCCCATGATTGCCTTTTGCGCAACCACTTCTTAACCTCCCCTCGATCGGACCTTTCAGACGCCCCATTACCCACACCAGATCTTACCCTCCTCGTGGATGGTAGCTCTTCGATATCACCTTTAGGAGTTCCCCTTTCAGGATACGCAATTGTGAACCACACAATCACTTTAGAATCAGCCTCCTTCGATCCTCCGGTATCTGCTCAGAAAGCAGAGCTCTTTGCTTTAACACGGGCTTGTACCCTGGCTACAGGAAAATCGGTAAATATATACACGGACTCACGATACGCCTTTGGCGTGGCCCATGAGTTCGGCCAGCTATGGTCGCAGCGCGGATTTCTGACCTCCTCAGGGACACCTATTCAGAACTCACTATACGTCCAAAATCTCCTCAAAGCCATCCTCCTCCCCAAGCAATTGGCCATAATCAAATGGCCCATGTAATGGACAATACGGATATCAGCAAAGGCAATGCCAGAGCTGATCGAGCTGCCAAAGACGCCTCAACAGCACGCAATTCTATTGTGTCCTCTATGAACCGGCAGGTGTTAAATCGCTCACCTGCCTGGAAAACAACGGGCATACCAGACATTGTCATTGTGCAGCGTTTACAGGGGGATACCCCCGACTCAGAAAAAGAAATATGGAAGACCCACGCATGGGTGTTCGCACTCTGCATCAAGAGGTCTCTGGATCACTCCAGTTGGCCAAGTGTGTATACCTGATGCTTTGTTACCAATGCTTATTGACTGTCTTCATACTGATACCCACCTTGGCAAGGAGGGAATGAGTAATATCATGTTATGTACCTGGTGGCACCCCCGATTGGCTGAGGCAGCCCAGAAGCGTGTCAGGTCATGTCTGACATGTCAGCAAAATAATGCCGGCCGAGGAATGCGGTGGGTAACAGGGAAAACACCCTTGCCAGGTGGCCCATTTGAGTGTATTCAGCTTGATTTCATTGAATTGCCGCGTGTACATTGCTATAAGTATTGTCTTGTTATTGTTGATGTACTTAGCAGATGGATTGAAGCCTTTCCAACCATTAATAATAAAGCCTCAACGGTGGTAAAATTACTACTGACAGAGATCGTACCAAGGTTTGGAGTGCCTTGACAGATTAGTTCAGACAATGGCCCCCACTTTGTAGGAAAAGTCAAGAAAGAACTATGTGAGGTGTTACACATCCAACAACAATTCCACTGTGCCTACCACCCCCAGGCGGCAGGGATAGTGGAAAGAGCTAACGGAACTCTCAAAGCTAAATTGACTAAGCTAACATCCGAAACCGGCCTTAACTGGCTAAAGGTTTTGCCTTTAGCTCTGTACCACATGAGAATAACACCCCACTTCACTACTGGACTCTCGGCCGCAGAAATAATTTATGGCCGACCTAGTAGGACCCCTTGGGATGCTGACACAGACCCACCTGCCCACGTACACTTAAATATTATGGGACAGGAAATGCAAAGATACTTTCAGCAGCTAACATCGTCTCTAAAGTTTCTTCATTCACAGGTAAAGTATGCCTTCGGACCACCATCACAAGCGACGGATCAGAGCTCAGACGACCAGAATGAACCCCCCAGACTACAAACGGGAGACCTCGTGCTGATCAAAGACTGGGATCGCCCCAAGCTCGGACACAGGTGGAAAGGACCATTCCAAATACTTCTCCAAACTCTGAATGCGCTTAAAGTCAAAGGGCAGAATCGCTGGATCCACCTAAGTGACTGTAAACAATGGGACCCTCAGATGGCCTAAAGACTACACTCGCACTCTGCAGTATCATGACCCCCCTCAACCTATACACCACAGATACTTCAGATGCCCCCTGTCTGGGTCAAAGCGGGAGGCTCAGAAGGGGGACATCAGGACGGTGCGTAGAGCTGATAAATTCAGATAGATCTCAGTCCCATAGCTGCACAGGAACCCAGGGAAGAAATGGTAGGATTTGCTCTGATCCCATGAGCTATCCACTTTGCTTCTCAGGACGGGGATGGGGTTGTGCATACGCTTTGGTCCCCACGAATGCCTCTTGTGCCCAATGACAATGTGCCCGCAGACATTGCCAGGTGAGCAATGGAATATTCACCTGCACCTGTGATGAGGAAAGGTGCTTAAATGTTACTGCAGGAAGACAGTTCATTTGTGGGCATTGTAACGGAACCCATGTCAGCTCTGCCTTTTGGTCATATACTTTTTACGATTACCAACTGATTGGATCCGGAGGGAATTCCGGCCATGAAAGAAACTGGAGATATAAACAGTTCATGAGTGCCAATAACAAAGCGGTCAAATACTACCGGGCCAAAAGAGGGTTTGCGTTCCTTCTCAACGGGACCTTTACTACGACCACCCCGGCTCTCCCCGTCCTATTCGCTGTATGGACAATAGGACCACTTATTGTCCCATGCCCACAGAAAGCACACACCCTCTGCAGAATAGTTACCCGAGCTATTAGTGAGGAATTTAGTGAGGATTGGAAGGACCCAGTAACTCTGGGATTTTCCCTTGGCTACAGGTTCCTGGGGGCACTGTCCCTCGGAGGAGCGGTGGGAGTAATAGCAGCGAAGAACCGGAATTACCTCATTTGTGGGTTAACTATCCTGGGAAACAGTACAGTGAGGGGACTGGAAGCGGTTAATCGGGAATTGGCAGAGTTAAGGCTCTACGCACAACAGACTAGATATGCAGTGGATTATCAATTGGCCCAACAGGGGGTAGTTTGTACAATAGTAGGAGACAAATGCATCACCCATATTACGGACGAATCATACAACAAAACCCACGCCATCCAGTCTATTAAGAAACAATTGGAAGGTGTCAGACAAGGTCCTAAGAAAGGAGATGACTGGCTAGGGTGGCTACTGGGAGGATTCTGGGGATCCTATCCACTGCATGGGCTAGTAATTCTTGTTGTTATAATCATTGTATGTTGTGTGTTAATAACTTGCTTAAATACTGGCTGTAAGATTCTTATGAATAAGCTGGCGGTGCCTTTCTCAGCCCCCATTTAGTTGGTTATCATGGAATGATAAAAGGAGGGAATGAAATGTTAAAGGGTTAATATCTGTTCTGCTGACATGTAAAAAATTAGGTGCTTCGTGGGCACCCCTGTCTCGCAGACAAAATGCAGTAATTAATTATACTCTGCTGTCTGTAAATGTTGAATTAAGGCTAAAAGAATAAGGAACTATCTAGTTTTACACATTGTTTTTGGACGGCTGACCTTTGTTTTACTGTTAGATGATTAAGTTACATACTATCACTGTTGCTAGGCATGTGATTATGGGGGAGTAAAAAATTGTATCTTGCATACATGACTGACTGTGATGTAAAATCCTATATAAAAGGAGGACGGTTCCCTTATTAGAGAGCATTGCGTGACACGGCTCCGCCAGCCCTGCGAAGATTGTTAAGTGATCCTCCAAAGCTTGTACTTGCTTAAATAAACTGTGGCTATTCACAGAGGATGGGGTATTGCATTTGTATCAAGTGCGTAGGAATCTCCTAAAAGGGAACCTAACATTTTCACATTATCCCTGTGCATCAGTTTCCTCCCACAGTCCATAGATGTGCAGGCTAGGTAGATTAGCTATGCTAAATTACCCCTCCTGTCCAGGCATCTGCAGGCTGGGTGGATTAGCCATGGGAAATGCAGGGTTACAGGGATGGGGTGGGTCTGGGTGGGATGCTCTTTGGAGGGTCAGTGTAGACTTGAATAGTCTGTTTACACACTGTAGGGATTCTGTGATCTGTAGAGAGAGAAATAGAGTTAGTGTTTCAGGTCCAGTAAAATGTCTTCTGAAGAAGTCATACCAGATCTGAAACATTCTTTCTACAGAGTTTCTCCAGCATTCCCTGCAACTGTGGATAGTTTTCAGACCACCTTGCTTGGGTACAAGCCAAACCCAGTCCACTAAGTTAAGCAAATGAAAGGGGACCACAACAAATTTTGGCCCAGAGTTCCCACTAATGAAAGATTTTTCTACAAAAGGAATCTGTGCTCTCCCCAAAACTGGAGCCACAACAGCCACTTTACAGTTTCATAATGCTTTGTGAAATTCCATTTTAGAATATGCATGCAACAGAATCTTTGGAGCTCAAGGTGAGTCTATAAGGCAGAATGGCAATGCATACCTGAATCACAAACATTTACACTACAATAATTAAAAACATGAGACAGATTTTTATTTACAAAAGTGACTGTATTTTTGTCTTTGAAAATAAATTCAGCAAAGATCATTAAGTAATTAATCAGAATGTATACTGGCAGTATTTATGTCAACAACACTTGCATTCTACTATCTATTCTCTGTCAATGCTAACTGACCTGCTGTGTATCTCCAATGTTTCATGTTTCTATTTCAATTTTTTCCAGCTGGTTTTATTACTGAGTTATGCCTTTCTCATGTGTGCCTTGAATTCAGCTAAAGCTCAGATAATGTCAAGAAAGGGAACAACATTTCCAAAGAGGAATGACCCTAATTATAAGCCCTTACTGTATTAAAGAGGTTTAATAATATGGGCCTGTTGCTTGCAAAGTATCCCTACAATATGTTCCTAAGAAGGGACAAATTAAGCAATAAATAAACACTTACACACAAAAATTATATTAAATTCCATGGCTATTTATGTCAGAGGTAAAATGGGTCCCAATATCTTTAACTGGAATTCTGTGATTTCAAAAAAAAAGGAATGGATTACAGTTATTGGAATTCTGCATAAGGGGGCAGAAGAAGTTCATGTTTATTTCAGGGTTATGTAACCTATAACTGTCATCAGTCTGTGACTGGGATGCGATTTTTCCCATCTCCTGGAAAGTGGAATTCTACTTTTCCAAAAAAAACTCAAATGATATTTACTGGAGATCAGAAATTCACTTCCTGTAAGTTTATAAGTGAGGCTTAAAGTCTTAAAGTTACTGAATTAGTCACAAACAAAAACAAATTGCTGGCAAAATTCAGCAGGTCTGCTAGCATCTGTGGGCAGAAAGCAGAGTTAGTATTTCAAGTCCAGTGACTTCTGATGAAGAGTCACTGGACTCGAAATACCAAGTCTGCTTTATCTCCACAGACCTCTGAATTTTGCCAGCAATTTCTGTTTTGTTTCAGATATCCCGCATCTGCAGTTCTTTGTTTTATTTTACTGAATTAATCACATTTGCTTATGAAGGGTCACCATTTTTGTGCGAAAATCTCAAATCATTTCTAAAATGTGTGATGACATTTACCTTTTCTGATTTCCAGAGTCAAAACTCTGCTGTTCTTGTTACTCCAGTAACTTTGTTGACGCAATAATGTCATAACATCAAACTGAGAATACAAGATTGTTTAGTGTTCTCTAATGTAATACAAGTTACAAGTGCTATACATTCACTGAATGTATTCGTCAACAGTTGTTATAATTAACACAAAGTCATTCAAGTGTTGTTTATTCTAAGGGATTCATATTAGATGTAGGAGTTTAACATCCTACTATATAGGACCATCATGTATAGTCAGATTCAATGACCTGTTTCATTAATATCCAGTTACAAAAATAAACAAAACATTAATGGGATTCATGCATAAGAGAAGGCAGTAGCACAATTAAAACACCCTCATTAGGTGGCTACAATTAACTTGTTACCAAAAACATCACAAATTTAAAAAATAAGTGGTTAAGAACATAAAATGGGATACGTTTGAAACAGTAAGTTTCTGAAAGACTTAAAGTAAAACTGCTTCTGTGTGCACCCTGAGTGTCTAGAATTAAACATGAAAACAATCCTGCTCTACAAAGAGCAGGAACCAACTCTAGATATTTTGAAATGATTGTTGAAACACTTTGAAAGGTGATGGATTGAGGTATGTGAGATTGTGCATGACTGAGTGGAAGAAGATCTTTAGATGAGGTTACAGGGAAACTGATTGAGGGATAAGATGAGAAGACAGATTTGCAATGTTGAGGGTCTACCAAAAAAGGAAAGGCTTGTTAAGAAAAATGACCTCTTCCTCATCTAAAAAGTGTTATGATGTCAAGATTCCCATTGTTTTGTAATCTATTGGCACTAAATTAAGCAGTATGTGGCAACACAAACATACATCTACAATATTTAATGTTTACACATAGGAATCACATACATACCACAAGCCTATCAATGGTTTGAACTTCCTGTAGGTTCTGGTTAGCTTATTCTTACGTTCTCCCTCATCTAATCACTTATGAATTTTGTACAAGATACAACCCTCACCATTCACTACTATACCTAGAAGAAATATTAACACTAAATGATTTTTACAAAAGCATAAAAACAAGCTAAACCTGTGCAAGTAAGACAGGCACTACAATGCATATGCATAACCATAATTAAGAATTCAGCATTCAGGTATTAAGAACAAAAAGAAAACATAAATCATTAGCATCCCTTAAAAGACCACCAGGCTATAAGCACAGATTGTGCCACATGTGTGAAGGCACATTCAATGACAAAGGGATGATATTCATTCCTACCAATAAGTGGATATTATCAGCTTCAAATGTCAGAAGCCAACAGCAACATGTACAAAAGATCACAAGATATAATCTCACAGTGCTATGCTATAAGAGGACACTACCTTTCAAACATAAATAATTTGTTCAAATTCAAAGCTTGTACATTTCTCCCTTGATCTTTTTGCAAGATGTACCATAAGAGAAGTTTTACAGTTTTTACTTCAAGTCTCAACAGTCATTTCCTGTAGTTGCTCCAAGTGTTCATGCAAGGCACTGTTGGATAAGGCACTGAGATTTTTCGCTTTTCAAAACACTTTTTGAATAGGGTGTAGTAACAGTGACAGTTGTCAGCTTTATTACACCTCTGAACTGTCACTGTTGTAGCTTTGCCCTGCGGTCATCATTTCATTGCTCCCAGCCCGTTTCTCATTTGATGACTGTTTCCCATTGGCAGTGTTCTTTCTGTGCTTCAATAAAAAGATTGTGGTGGCCATACAAACTAAGAGCAGCAATCCCCCAGCTCCACCTACCATGGGGAGGATGCGATCTTCAGACTCTTTGCTGGTGGTAGGCAGATGTGGCCTCTGGTACTGCTCCCCATGGGGCGGGTAGTCCTTCTGGGTGATGATGATTTTATTGGCTATGTGCTGGATATTAGTGCCTCGGTTGTTCTCCACTCCAATATCTTGCACGAGATCAGGTTTCCTTGGTGCTGATCGTCGGCTGTGGTTCAATCCCAGGCTGTTAAAAAAACTTCCTGTGGTGGACACTAAATGGTGCAGAAATGTCAAACTTCTCTTGCCGATTCCTCTCCTGGCATTCTCTTTGGAACGGACTGTGTAAATAACATGGATGTACCACTCTCGGCCAGCAGCCACCTGGAAGACAAATAGGAAAGCATGGTTTAATTGGCTAAAGCACCTTTATTTGTACTGTGAATTGAGTGATGTTGGATGTATTCTGACCATTTATAAAATACGTCACCTACCTTCACTGAGATTGAAAGTCCCACCCTAATGTCTTCTAAGATATTTTCATAGAATCCCTACAGTGTAGAAACAGGCCATTTGGCCCAACAGGTCCACACTGCCCCTCTGAAGAGCATCCCACCCAGACCCAGTCTCCTAATTTCCCCATGTCTAACCCACCTAACCTAAACATCCCTGGGCACTATGGGCAATTTAGCATGGCGAATCCACCTACCCTGCATATTTTTGGACTGTGGGAGGAAACCAGAACACCCAGAGGAAGCCCACGCAGACACAAGGAGAATGTGCAAACTCCACACAGACAGTCACCCGAGGTTGAAATTGAACCCAGGTCCCTGGCACTGTGAGGCAGCAGTGCTAACCACTGAGCCACTGTGCCACCCAACCTTTTCTGTCATGAATTCTACCAACTCATTTAATATTCTGCTTGTGAAATAATTGTCTTTGCTATCTACAGAATAAGTGAGAAAAGTTCCCAGAGTATGCATCAAACTTTAAATTCACATTGATGTTTCTTGATTTGTTGCTTTTCTTGCTTTCTACTACTTATCAATCCATGTTTCATACAGCCATCACCTCTGCCTGTTAGTTTCAATCGATACATTTTCAATTGCTCCTGACAGAAGGTGATCAAGCAGCATTAATTGTTGCAATTGAAGTACGTATACTATACAATCACATAAAAAACCGTCCCAGTTTCCAGCTTCAATAGAGGTCAGCCAATGGTATTTTCTTGTAGTCTGTATTTCAACTTTCTGAAGGCTTGATTCACAAAGTGAACGAATGGGGTTGATTGAATTGCTGTACAGAGGTACCATCAATTTGATTGGTCAAATGCCCTCTTTCTGTGCCATTTTGACTTTATGATATCCCTATGTTTTTATTCCAATGAGAAAACTCTCAATTCTTGCAATATTTTTGCAACTGTACACTCTTATACTTTCCATTATATTTTGAATCCTGTGAAGAACATCAGTGTTCTATTGAAGATAACATATTTAATCTAAAACATTCATACATACTAACTTGGATTATGAGTAGGCCATTCTGCCCTTACAGCATGCTTCATCATTTAATAATGTCCTGGCTGATGCGGTTGCAACATCAAATCTGCATTCCCTGCTACTGCAGATAACATTTCACCCCATTTTCTTAAGAAGAATCTATCTATCTCTACCTTAAAAAAATATTCAATGACACAGCTTCTGCTATCTTTACAGGGAGCATTTCAAAGACTTACAACTCTGAGAAAAAAAAATTCTCATTTTGTCTTAATTGGGTAAACCTTGATTTCTAAAGAGTGGTCAGGGAAACATCCTGTCAAAATCCCTCAGGATCCTGTCTGCAAAGGAGGACCAAGAATTTAATTAAAGGGAAAAATGAGAGTAAACTTTCAAGAAATATAAAAGTGGATTGTAAGAGCTTCTACAAGGACATAAAAAAGAAAAACATTAGTGAAAACAAATGTCCTACAGTCTGAAATGGGCAAATTGATAACAGAGAACAAGAAAATGGCAAAGTAATTAAACGTTATTTTTAAATGTAAAGTACTTGTGAATGTTGAAAATCTAAAATAAAAACAAAAGGTGCTAGGCAAACTTAGCACATTTGACAGCATCTGCGCAGAAAGAACAGTTAATGTTTCGAGTCTGATATGACTTCTGTCTTGTTCTGCCTTCATAGAAGAAGACATGAAAAGCTTAACAGGAGTGCTAGGGAAACATGGGTATTTTAGAAGGGACCTTGACTACACCTCCTCTCACCCACCCTCCTGCAAGAATGCGATCCCTTACTTCCAATTCCTCTGCCTCTGCTGCATCTGCTCTCAAAATGGAGCATTCCACTCCCAGACATCCCAGATGTCCTCCTACTTTAAGGACTGTGACCTCCCCCCTCCGTTAATTGAACTCCCTTAACCGCATCTCTTGCATTTCCCACACTTCTGCTCTCAAAACTATGCCCCTCCCCAACAAAAATAAAGACAGAGTCCCCTGGTCCTCACATCCCACCCCACCAACCTCTACATCCAACGCATCATCCTCCACCATTTTTGCCACCTGAAATCCGACCCCACTACCAAAGAGATACTTCCCTCCCCACCCCATCTTCCTTTTCTAGGGACCGCTTACTCCACGACTCCCTCATCTACTCCAGACTCCCCACCACACCCGGCACCTTTCCCTGCAACCGTAGGAGGGGAGGTGATGGCCTGGTGGTATTATCGCTGGGCCGTTAATCCAGAGATCCAGATAACGTTCTGGGGACCTGGTTGGGAAGCCCACCATAGCAGATAGTGGAATTTGAATTCAATCAAGTATCTGTAATTAAGAATCTAATGATGACCATGAATCCATTGTTGATTGTCAGAAAAACCCATCTGGTTCACAAATGTCCTTCAGGGAAAGAAACTGCCATTCTTACCTGGTCTGGCCTCCATGTGGCCTCAGAACCACAGCAATCTGGTTGACTCTGAATTGCCTTCTGGGCAATTAGGGATGCACAGTAAATGCTGCCTAGCCAGCAATACCCTCATCCCGTTAATGAATAAAGAAATAAAAAACATGCCCCTACACCTCCCCTCTCATCTCCATCCGAGGCCCAAGACAAACTCTCAAAATCTGTCAGGGGTTCACCTGTACATCCTCCAACCTGGTCTACTTCATCCATTGCTCCCGATGTGGCCTCGTCTACATTGGTGAGATGAAATGCAGGCTCAGTGACAGATTTGTGGAGCACCTGCACTCCATATGCTATAACCAACAACACCTTCCGGTTGCTAACCATTTTAACTCTCCTTCCCACTCCCTTGGTGACATGTCCATCCTGGGCCTCCTCCAGTGCCACAATGATGCCACACGCAAACTGGAAGAACAACACCTCATATTCTGCCTCAGGAGCCTACAAGCCTGATGGCCTAAACATAGAATTCACCGGTTTCAAAATCTCCCCAACCCCGGCCTCATCCCATGCCCAATCCTCCATCTCATCCCCGCCTCCTTGACCTGACACAACCTGTCCATCTCCTTCCCCACCTATCCACCCCACCCCTTCCACTAACTAATCCCCACTACCCCTACCTGCATCCACCTATTGCCATCCCAACTACCTTCCCCCAGCCCCACACCTCATCCCTCTATTCACTCCCCAGCTCCCAGCCCCCTCCCCAGTCTTGATGAAGGGTCTAGGCCTGAAATGTCAACTTTCCTACTCCTCTGACGCTGCCTGACCTGCTGTGTTCCTCCAGCTCCACACTACATTGACTCTTTAATATTAGTTTAAAAAATAGTTCTAAATAATTTAATGTGACTAAAAGCTGATAAATCTCCAGGGTCTGATAACGTACATCCCAGGTAACTGAAGGAAAGTAGTTACAGTTGATGCATTGATTGTCATCATTCAAAATTCCATAGATTTTGGGACAGACCTGGCAGACTGGAAGGTGAAAATGCAACACTGTTTAAAAAAAGAAGGCAGAGAGGGAGTTATAGACCAGTTAGTTAAACATCATTTCTAGGGAAAATAATGGAGTCTTTTTTAAAGGATTGATAACAGGATACTTAAAAATTACCAACAGTATTACAAAGAGGATTTATGAAAGGAAAATTGTGTTTGACAACCTACTGGAGTTTTTGAGGGTGTAACCAATGAGACGAGAGAGAACCAATGGAAGTGGTATATTTGAGTTTTCAGAAAGCTTTTGATAAATCCCACATAAGACGTTATGGTGCAAATTCAAACATATGGGATTGATACCAGTATACTGACATGGACTGTGAATTAGTTAGCTGTCAGGAATAGCAAGTAGGATTAAATGAGTTGTTTCTGGAGTAGATGGTGTACATGGGGAACTGCAAGGATCAATGCTTGGACATCAGGTATTCACAATACATCAGCATTTTGGATGAGGGAGTTGAATTTATTATTTCCAAGTTTGTGACTAGGTTAGAGTATGAATGATGAGGAGGACGTGAAGAGGCTTCAGGGTAATTTAGACAAGTTGAGTGAGTATGTTAATACATGGCAAACTATTATTAAAATGTTAATAGATTGGGAAATGTTGATGTACTAATGGACCTGCGTTTACTTGTACATCAATCAATGAAAGTAAACCTGCAGGTTTAGCAAGCAGTTGGGAAAAGAAATGGTATGCCAGACTTCATTGTAAGATGGTTTCAGTATAGGAGCAAAGAAGTCTTAGTGCAACAATACTGGGCACTGATGAGAACATACCTGGAGCAATTGGTTAAGTTTTAATCTCCTTACCTAAGAAAATATATACTTAACGGAGAGGGGGTCCAGCAGACTGACTCATGAGATGACAGGTTTGTTGTATGAGAAAAATTGGTTCGACTAAGTCTGTGTTCATTGGAAATTAGAAAATGAGAAGGGATAACATTGAAACATATGGAAAAACTGACAGGGTTAGACAGAGCTGATGTAGGGCTGATGTTTCCACTGGCCTGGGGTTAGGGGGAGCCCAGAATAACCGGTCATGGTTTCAGAAAATGCAGAAGGCCATGGTGACCCAGTGGTTTGCACTGCTGCCTCACAGCACCACGGAGCTGGGTTCACTTCTAGTGTCAGATGGCTGTCTGTGTGACTTTGCACGTTCTCCCTGTGTCTGTGTGGGTTTCCTCCGGATGCTTTGTTTCCTCCCACAGTCTAAAGAAACATGTGCAAGTTATGTGGATTGGCCATGTTAAATTGCTCATAATGTCCAGGGTTGTACAGGCTAGGTGGGTCAACCATGGGAAATGCAGGGTTACAGGGATGGGGTTGGTGGAACTGGGTGGGATGCTCTTCAGAGTGTTGGTATGGACCTGATGGGCCGAATGGCCTGCTTCTACATTGTAGGAATTCTATGATTTTGGATTGCAAAAAGGAGAAATTTCTTTGGAGGGTGGTTAACCCGTGGAGGTGAAGTCACATATTTAGGAAAGGAGTAGATAGATATTGAGAAGCTAAGGGTATCAAGACTATGGGGAGAGAGTGGAATTATGACATTGAGGTAAAGGGGATTAGACATGATCATGTTGAATGACACAGTGAATTGATAGGTCAAATGGCCTACTCCTGCTCCTATTTTCTAAATTTCTGTTTCAATCAAGCCAACTAATACTCTTCTAAAATCGCGCGGATAGAAGCCTCGTCTGTTCAACCCTATCCTCATCAGACAATTCGCTCATTCCAGGTATTATTCTAGTAAAGTATCTTTATACAGTCACTAAATTCAGATAGATTTTTAACCAGATTATGAACAGGCAGTCTATTATTTTAAATGGGCATGCACATCTATTCAGGGATTTATAAATCAAATTTATGAACACAAACTAAGAGACGGGTATGGTGATGCAGGCTTTATTATTTTTATAGGTTTGGACCTTGCATCAAGAAATACCATGTAAATGTGTCACAGAGTTATAACATATGGTCTGTCAACCTTTAATTCTGTCAACTGATTTAATACTGCGGACTTGCAATCACATGATCAAAACTCTGACATGTGAGAACTGATTATAAGCTTGTCTGTTGGTTACTGAAGAGAGTACATCAAGAAAGTTACAGGATGGAATAGTAATAACAGCTCTGTCTCTCTTTCTCACATGAGTCTTCTTCAAGCTCAGATCCCATTTCTGTTACAAATTAGAATACATCATAGAGGTAGGAAATTTAAAAATAAAAAGAAAATTCTATTTGTCACAAATAGCCAATCTGATTGCAGTTCACCAGAATCTGTCTCCAGAAGAACATCCAGCTTACATTGGCTGTAAAACCAATGGACTTCAAGACCACCAAAGGAACATTGGAATGTTGAATTCATTTTATTTATAGACTAAACTCTTTTCCACCTCCCATGTTCTATTTTTTATTTATGTTAGTATCTGTGTGTATATAGAGACATACAGCATGGAAAGAGACCCTTCAGACCAACTAGTCCACGCCAACCATGTTCCCAAACTGAACTAGTCCAAGCTGCCTGCATTTGGCCCATTTCCCTCCAAACCTTTCCTATTCATGTGCTTACCTGCATGTCTTTTAAATTTTGTAACTGTACTTGCATCTACCATTTCCTCTGGCAGTTCATTCCACACACAAACCACTCTCTAACAAAGTTGCCTCTCCCTCTTACCTTAAAAATATGCCCCCTAATTTTGAACTTCCTCACCCTAAGAAAAAGACCCTTGCTATTCACCTTATCTCTGCCCCTCCTGATTTTATAAACCTCTATAAGGTCATCCTCTATCTTCTATGCTCCAGTGAAAAAAGTCCTAGTCTCTTTTTATAACTCAAATGCTCCATTCCTGGCAACATCCTGGTAAATCTTTTCTGACTCCTCTCCAGCTTAATAATATCCTTCCTGTAACAGGGTGACCAGAACTGGACACAGTACTCTGGAACAGGCCTCACCAAGGTCCTGTACAACCTCAACATTAAGTCCCAACTCCTATACTCAAAGGTCTGAGCAATTAAGGCAAGTGTGCTAAATGCCTTCTTAATGACCATGTCTAAGTGTGACTCAAACTTCAAAGGATTATGTACTTGAACCCATAAGTCTCTCCATTCTATAACGGTATCCAGGGCCCCACTTTTAATTGCATAAGTCCTGCCCTTGTTTGTTTTACCAAAATGCAATACCTTGTATTTATCCAAACTAAATTCCATCCGCCACTCCTCAGCCCACTGATTCAATCGATCAAGATCACTTTGTAATTTTCCATAACCTTCTTCACTGTCCACCATATCAGAGGTTTCAGGACAGGTTTTACCCTGTTTTATACATTACTTGAATAAATTCAACATTAAAATTAAATCTTCAACTTTATTAATCAAGCGATCTGTCTGCCTTATTTCTCCATTTGCCCTACAACATTGAACTGAAAGTATGCATCTTTAGACTACTTAAACTCTGTTACAACCAATCTCAGCGGTAATAACAGAGGAAATTATTCACTCCTCTGCACTTGGTTGTAACAAATGCTATGTTTTCCTTTTTGAGTGTGAGACTATTACACAATTCATATTGCATTCTTTTTCTCCTTGTAATGTCTAAGAATACAACTAATTTTACAGTGAATCTGACCACTTGACAGCAAGTTTGGTGCTTTTACTGTTTAACGGCTCATTGCGCAGTGATTCAGTTAGCTGAATTTTAACCTAAAACAGAAATTGTTGTGGGCTGAACCTTTAAATACGATAAAGAGACTGCAAACTTCATTGTCATCAGGTTTTCATCCTTAGCTCTAGTCAGCCATGTTTACTGAGTGAAATGGTAACTTGGTGGCTTTTGGCTTTCACACCTACTTCTTAGAACCAGCTGCCAGCCTGAGGGGCCTTGAGGTACATTAGTGGACAACCAACTCCCTGATTACATCACCTGATCGCCAAGTAAAAACCAAAAGAACTGCAAATGCTGTAAATCAGGAACAAAAACAAAGTTGCTGGGAAAAGCTCAGCAGGTCTGGCAGCATCTGTGGAGGAGAAAACAGAGTTAACGTTTCAGGCCCGGTGACTGTTCCTCAGAATGTTCTGAGGAAGGGTCACCGGACCCGAAACGTTAACTCTGTTTTCTCCTCCACAGATGCTGCCAGATCTGCTGAGCTTTTCCAGCAACCTAATCACCAAGCCCTGACTCCCCAATGAACACAAGTCTTCTGTGGTTCCCTGTCCCAACCTCTGAACTCTGATCTGTGTCATGCTCCGAAGGTATCCAGTGTTTATTGAGGCCTGTGATTTCCCACTCTGCATAACCACAAGGCTTCTGAATCCTGCCCTACCAGGGTCCCCAGCCTACTCCTTCAGATAGATAGTCTATCCCATCAATAAGCCTTCCCTAATCCTTCCATTTGGCACTTGCTTCTCTCCCCAATAAACCACGCAAGCAACATCCCTTGCCACCATAACTGATGCCTCCCTGGGAGCGCTGACATAGTAGTTACCTTCTTCTGTGACCTTCACTTACAAAATCTCTACCCCATTGGAGGGTCAGCCTGTCGTCAGTGATTTCACTAATATGCTGTACAGTTAAAGATTCAGACAATGTGGGAGATCTCTGAATTGTGTGTTAGGTAAGTAAAGCGCCTCCTCACACCTGTGGGAAATTTTAGGAGCAAACCTGCACTCATCCATATCACAGCACTGCACACTATAACTTCCAAAATGCTGCAGCACTACAAGGTCCATCAATTGTTGCATTTTAAGGGATACAAACATTGTAGCACAGAGTAAGAAGATCTTTTCTCACTGGACAAGTTGCAAATAACTTTTCAAAGGAAACCATTATAAATTGTCCAACCTCTCATTCCAAACAAGCTGCATTCAGAGCATAAAAGTAAATAAAAACCCCAGACAAATATGGATCAACATCAAACGTTCACCCGGAAAAGCGGAGCAGAAGCGAAGCTGAAACCATCAGATCCTGGCTGTTTCACAAGTGGTAATGCATCTGGCATATCAACAGCCAACCTGGCATCAAAAGGGACATCACCAAAGGCTGGAGCTTGGGACTCAGGCTGAGCTTTGTCCTGAGGAGAGAAGCAGAATTTGTGTTGGTGCATGGCACCTTGTGAATACCCAACTTGAATTACTTTTCCATTTTCCTTTATCTGACAGAATCCAACATACCAGAATCTTAAACCTGTACAATAAAGATAAGGAGTCAGCCAGACAACCAAATTCATGATTTGTTGGACTGTATTTGGGAACATATCCATCAGCACCAGTACATAAGAAAACTTTCTCAATGTTGCAGATGAATGAATCTCCAAGGTTCTGAACTGGGTCCATCATGTCACGTCCATAAATGACTGAACCTGAATAGAAAGATCACAAAAGACAGTGGGATACAGGGTAGGACCTCCTGAAAACATTTTTATCACTTATTTGTTTTTTGTGAGATAACCATCAAACTGAGGAGCATGTATATTAACAGTCATCAAATTACAATCTCAGATCTAATCTGTTCAGCTACAAAAGGAAATCAGATATCTAGAACAAGTCTGCATCAATGAGTAAACATTATATATTCTTTACGCTTGTAGTAATTAGAAATAAACATTTCTTTATGAATTGTACATGTTTGTGTAAGGAAGCCTAACCAGGTATGAAGTATAAGTCAACAAACCTTCGGAAAATGCAACGTCTGTTCCTTCTCCAAATCCCATTGAGCCATCAGACAGCCAAAGCTCTCTCTTGGACAACAGGATCATCTGGGTATTCAGGCTAAACTCAACAGCCACAGGGTCACTCACCTATTACAAAAAATATGAGCCACAAACAAAAGTGTTAGGTTCTACTATGGTTATAATGTATTTTGTTACATTCATGATTTTAATTAATTATATTGGAATTCCATTTAATATCATGGTTTATATTAATAACATAATCTTATAATATACAGTGAAGAAAGTAAAGACAAAGTCTGCAGGTATTTTTACCAGACCTGTTGGAATCGAATATCCAGATCAAATGTAATAGGTTCTCGTGGATTACAGACAACTGGCAGATTATATTCCTGGTTTGGCGCTGAGCTGCATGGGATAAATTTCACTGTATATGTACCTGAGTAGTCTCTGATCTAAAGGAAGGAAGTATAAAGATGGTGAAAATATTGAAGTTACAAGAACTGTTTTCTAATCAACCTGTTCAGAGGTGTTATTAAACATCTCTGAAACAAGCTGGACTTGAACCCAGGCCTCCCAGGTCAAAGATAGGGATATTACCACTGCACCTCAACAGTCCTTAAAACAAACTGAGAACATAAAGCTTTTCTTTTCCACTGGTCTGAATGCACAAATCTAGTGTAGAATTTTAGATGATCGCAACACGCTTTAATGATCTACTTTAGAATAATGGAGGTGCCACCCCAGACTACTTAACAAACAAATAGAACAATGGACTGTAAAGTCTTTCTTGTTAGGTGACCTTCATTCTCTGTTGTTCTATTCTGTAATATTGAACTTTGAGACCTATGTCTATAAGTGCAAGCCTTGACACACATTGCTCAATGGTAGCACCCTCTGAGTCAGGCTTTCATCCTCACTTTAGAGATCTGAGCATGTAATGTTGGTGAACACTTCAACGGGCTACTGAGGAATTGCTGAATTGTTGGAGCTGTAATCTAGCTGATGAGATTTTGAACTCTTGACTGCCCTCTAACTGGAGCATGCACTAAAACAGAGTGTCTGATGATTTATGTCATTGCTGTTTCTGTTCTTCACCATGCACAAATTGTCCTCCACGTTTTTTACTGTTGCAAAGGTGACAACACTTCATTGCCTATGAATACATTAGGGTGGCCTGAAGTTTGGAAAATTGTCAAATATAAGTTTTATTTGGGAGAACTTTTTATCAATTCTTGTAAAATTGTACATTGGATCTGTATTCCCTCTGATTTCTCCAACCATGGTACAGATCTCTGAAGTCTATGTATGGCAGTGGCTGGAGAAAACAGAAGTAAACACATTGGCACATTGTTGGTCTGCCAATTGACATGTGCGGACCTTCATAGCGAGATCGTAAAGAGAAACATCAGCCTTTTTTTATTTACCATTCTTGAATCAGCCACCTGATGGAACACTTCCTTTAAATGAGTCCTGAATATCTTAAGAAAACACAAGCAATCACAGGTCATGAGCCCCGAAGCTTCTGGAAAATCCTGCAAACTCTTAATTTAAAATTGAACAAATAGCCATTCAAATGTGGGAAATAAAAAGGCTGTAGTAATAGTAGTGAACAGTATAGTGAGGCGATTGACACTGTTCTCTGCAGCAAAGAGCATGTTTCCAAACATTTGTATTGTCTGCCTGGTGCCAGGATTCAGGACATCTGCTGTGGGTTGGAGAAGAATTTAGAATGGAAAAGGGAGAATTCAAAGACTATGGACTTTGTCCTTACTAAAGACCTAGGTAGAACTAGAAAAAGTCTGCTGAGGAGTATAAGAAGATATGTGCTAAATGGTGTTGCTGAAAGTGACCTGGAATCACTGAGGGCTTTTTGAACAGCCGAACAGAAACCATAACTGTGCTCACTACCTGCTACAGAGCTGGTTTTCAGGAAGCAGAAGAGGGTCAGATTGAAACAATTTGAGACAGGTGGGCATTGGTAGACCTCAGACCTGAGATCCTCACTGAGGCTGTAAACTGTTCAGGGAATGGTAATTTCTCACAAACTGCCTAACTAGGGAAATAGAAAGGACTTTAAACTAAACGAGGGATGAGGGATATTTTCTGTATGGCTATGTCAGGCTGTTGCTTGATTCATCCATGAGACAGCTCTATCAATTTTGGCACAATACTCCAAATGTTAATAGGAGGGTTAGTATGAGGAATAGCCAATGCCAGTCTGTTACTCCTATCCTGTGTGCTATAATTTTATTTACTAATCTTCTGTATAGAATTTTATTCAAAGCCTTTTCAAAATCTAAATACACCACATTCATTGGTTCTTCCTTATTCACACTGAGTAATATCCCCAAACAATTTTAACAGATTTTTCAAACATGATTTCCATTTTATGAATCCACGCTGACTCTGCCCACATCCTTCATAATCAATTCTACTACTTTCATTACTACTGATAATCAGGCACATAGATCTGTTGTTTCCTCTCCCTTCCTCTTAAACTGTGGATTACATTCACAACATTCCAATCTGCAGACACCATTCCAGACTCAACAGAAATTTAAAAGATGTTTGCTAACTCACATAGACTCTCTAAACCCATGTCTTCCAGCACTGCTCTGATCACTGAATCCTGAGGAATTATCAATGTTCTTAAAACTACTTTTTTATTGATAATATTTCTTCAGTTCTTTGTTCCTAATGGTCCCTTGGATCTCTATTACTTTTGAAAGATTTCTTGTATCTTTCTCAGTAAAGACAGACACAAAGGGCTGAATTTGTTTTGGCTAAATGCAAATTACATTGAGTTTATTGGAGGGATTCTCACCATGTGATTGAGCAAGGTTTCACACTGAGCCTTACCAACTGAGCTGTATTAACTATCTATCCCAACTGTATGGCATCCATCAAGTTCAATTCTAGACTCAGCTTACCACACCCTGTTCTTAGAACAAATCAGCAGATATCCAGCAAAGGACCAGCATTGCTCACACCCCTTTCATCCTTAAAAAGCTGGTGTGCACTCAGACAAATATTGGCATTCCAAAGCTCAGTCAAGGGCATTTTCCGAAGATGTCTGATAATGGAAGATGGCACCACGATTCTCCGAGAGGGGCTAGGAGGTCCTGGTGGATAGGGTGGTGCAAAGGAGAGGTGTCCTCTTCCTGAGGACCGTCTGAGGAAGCCATGCCATTAGGCCCTTGCAGCCTGGTATAAGTCACCATCTCGGTTAGTGCTGTTTTGACGTTCTGGATGAATGCTGAACAGTCAATGACCTTCTTTGCCGTGCCAGGGTATCTGCAACCTCACATTCACTATATCTGCTACTGTACAACTTCTCTAGCAAGTCTCGTGCTCTGCCACTCTCATCATTCCCTGCAACATCTTCCCTCACTCACTCTCACCAATATCCCCCATGCACCACTAACCCTGCATGACTCAGAGATAGCAAGAACTGCAGATGGTGGAATCAGAGTCAATACAGTGTGCAGCTGGAAGAACACAGCAGGTCAGGCAGCATCAGAGGAGCAGGAAAGTCAACGCTTCAGGTTGGGACCTTTCATCAAGAAGGTTCCTGACCTGAAATGTTGACTTTCCTGCTCCTCTGATGCTGCCTGACCTGCTGTTCTCCTCCGTTCCACCCTTTATTGATCTCTGCACTGCCTCTTCACTTCTTCTATAAACCTCACAACCTTTCAGCCACTTACATCAGCCTCTTTCACTTCACTCAATCCCTCTGTTTCTCTCATTACAAGAGAAAACAGATCATACTTGGGATAAAAGAGCTAAAATGAGTTGAGGGGTGCCTGACATTAGATTTCTCACTCCACACAAGGAAAAATTTCAGACCCTCACAAGAGAAGACTGGGATCATTTCTGCTGGAATACCAAGGAAAAGGTACATACAGGGGAATAGTTCCTGCTTACATCATTGGTCCTCATTCTACAACATTCCTATTTTTTCCCAAGTCCATTGTCCAAAAGTACTGTTGTGCATGAGGTTGTCAGTAACATCTAGGGCAGACAGTTGCACAGCAAACAGGGGTAAAAGGCATTAGAATGGCCAGATATAGGGACGCCACAGATCTGTATCCTGTACAGTGCATGGATTTGTGCGCAATGTTGTTTCCCTGTAAAGGTCCTCACACTGATTGAACTTGCAGACCCTCCCTCATAGGTCGAGTCACTTACCCTACTAACTCTGGGTTTGGTCACAGCCATTTTCTTCCCCACTGTGTACTTTCAATTTCCAGCACAATGGAAGGTGATAGTGAGCCACCTTTAGCTAGTCACTTCCAGCATCCGCCTTTATGTGTCAGTGAGCTCCCAAATATCCAAACCCATTTCTAGTAGTCCTTCCTCTAACCCAAATGGCTTTGTATCTGTCCAGAAAACTACACAATCTGTCTACATGAGGATGCACCTGCCCACCTTATGCACCCTGTCCCGGCATGAGGTGACTATGCCATTGTGGGCATACATTGACCTGCTTGAAAATCAGCATTCTCCTGAATGTTGAAGTAGCACCTTCCCCTGCCCCATGCTTTATATCAAGCTTTATCATATCTCCACCCTTGCAGATACTGTTTCCCCTCTTTGCAACTGTCATCCTTCCCTCCCCCAGCCTGTAGCTCCGATCCTTAAGAATATCTTGTTTAGTCTCCTTCCCATTGCAGGGGCTTTCCCTTGTTTCTCCACCCTTCACTCCCCCCACCAAATGCCTTTCCCCTTAGTTTCTCTGGATTGCCTCTACAGATAGATCATGGCTAACCTACCTGGTAAGAGGTAAACCTCACCCCTCGGACCAGACACGATGGAGACATGGTACTCGCTGTGACTCATTCTCTGGACTGCACAGGCATAGGCCCCTGACCAAGAACATCCTGACTGGACACCTGATTATGGCCAATCACCTGGGCTGCCCTTGACTTAGTGCTGAGACCCTCTGACTGACAGGTACCTCCATGTACTTCGTGAGGACAACTCCCCCAAGATTTCAACTCATGGCTACTTATTTGCTGCACATTCATTCTATTTGCCATGTTAGCTGCTGGCACTTGGTGCAGAATGAGTTTGATGTAGCACTCTGCTGTATAGCAATGTGTATGACCCTTTGACTAAAGATGCTGACCAGCAAAGCAGGTTGTCTGGTTGTTTGACTGCACTAATTGGTAAGGGAAGGCAAAAATGGTGTAAGCATGTGGGTAGGTGCTAAGTGACCAAGTGGTTACAGACCAAGTGAACATCCTTGAGGAGCAAACTGGTCCAGTCTGTGAGCTGGGTGTTTGTCCTTGCATGCAAACCATCTCTGCTATAGCCTCGCAATGCTATTTGCTGGTGTACCTTGCAATGCAAGTCTGTGCTTCCTGAGTGTCCTGTCTCAAGGTGCACTGATGGTCTTGAGGAGTTGGCAAATATCGATGTCATTAAATGTGGGTGAGAGGTGCATATGGCTGGTGCCTGGGGATGTTGTTTGGTCCTAAGCAACATGGAGGTCCTTCGAAGCAAACAGCAAGCTGAAGACATCAGATGCTTGCTCTGACTTCTACGTCAAGATTTGATATCTAGCTTGTTTGGCATGTTAAGATAGGAAGCTGAATATTATGAAGTAAGCTGGGCCATTATCAATGCATTTAGCAAACAATAATCCCCCTTAATTAGCAGCATGCCACTGCCTAGAGAGAATTTCATCATGCCACTTGGTAAAAGCATAAAAGACAGCATGAGATGTTCCTGATGTTGAGATAGAACTCATTGGACTTCCCATTGGAAAATGCCAGAAATCTCAGCATAGCCCATGCGCAGACACCTATAAGATTCTGCCCAAAGTAACTATTTAGCAAACTAACATAATAAATTTTCTTATCTCCGTCCTTAATGGACCCACATATCTATAAAAGCTTTTTCGTAGCTTTCTACTACCTTGCTAGTTTACATTCATATTCTATTCATTTTTTCATGGATACTCTATCTACGAACATCTTCAAGACTGAAACTGCTTGATTTTTGGTCTCTAATGGAATCAATGATTACAGGGATTAAGCAAGAAAGTGGAGGTAAGGCAAAAAAACAAATCAGCAAAATGGTCTACTCCTCTTATCATAGAATCCTTACACTGTGGGAGCAGGCCATTCAGTCCATCAGGTCCATACTGACTCTCCGAAGAGCATTCCACCAGACCCATTCCCTGTAACCCTACATTTCCCATAGCTAATCCACCTACCTTGCACATCCTTGGACACAATGGGCAATTTCAAACAGCCAATCCACCGATGTTTTTATGTTTAGTGAGAAGAATCATGGAATGCAATACCAGCAAGTGGATTTTAACATACTCAGTTTTTGTAAAACAGTAGGTATGTTAAGCACAACACAAGCTTTAATAGGGCACTTTGCAGTCTGAAAGTCTTGATAATGAATTCAATAACTTCAGAAACTGACTGCATTATGTCTGCTCTCCATTTTTATTACTTTGCCCATGCATTTAATAGAGATTGGACCGATTCTCTCCCTTTCATACCGTAATTTGCACCTATTCTTCTCTTTCTCCACTATTAACAATCCATTTGTCATTTGCACTGGGCCTCTGCCTCTGTCAAAAGTATATAAAAAATCTATTTTCCAACACCTTTAAGTTCTGAAGAAGAATCATACTGGATTTGTAACATTAATTATGTTTTCCTCTCCATGGATGTTGCCAGACTTGCTGAGTTTCTCCAGCATTATCTGTGTTCTTTTCAGATTTCCTGCATCCACAGTGTTTTGCTTTTATACATTGCTCTGTTAAGTGCATCCAAAGACTCATCACTTAAAGCAGAGCCTGATGCTTGTGAAGCAATGCAACAATATTGTATTGTATTTATCTAAGCAGTAACAATGTTGAAAAATATTTTGAGGCATTTCACAGAGCCTTAAACAAAAAAATGAATGCAAAGACAAAGAAGGGAAAGTGTGGAGCATATGCAATTGAAGGTAAAGCTGCTGGCTGAGGAGTTGGGGTATTGGGTAGAAGAATGGAAAGCACCTTGGAGTCAGAAAAGCACAAGTGTCCAAAATTTAAGGGTGAAAATTTTAATTATGAGGCACTGAGTTTGGGCAATGGCTGTAAGGAAGGAAGATACTGGGGAAAATGTAAATGAGATAGATGTGGCAAAGGGTACGCCAATGATTTGACTTTGGAAACTTACAGCAAAATCAGAGATGAAACTCCATTGCTGTGTTGGCTTGTTGTAGGTTGGCTCACTGCGCACGAGACTAAGTGTGAATGTGAGGCCGGAGTGATCAGCAGACATTACCATCGATGTCAATGAGGTGCCTGGAACAGAAAGCAGTGCAGCTAATACCGTTAATACCAATAAGGAGTAGAAATGTAATGGCAAGTACATAGCCAGACAAAATTTAGGGAGGATACAGACAGAGTGGAATCAGTTTCTTTGGCTATTTTCTTAGGAAATTAATACAGAACGGGTACAAACAAAATTTCATCATTTGTAACTGTATCAGAAACAGTTACAGCAAGTAACTGTTTGGGGCGGCACAGTGGCTCAGTGGTTAGCACTGCTGTCTCACAGCACCAGGGACCTGGGTTCAATTCCACCCTTGGGCAATTGTCTGTGTGGAGTTTGCACATTCTCCCTGTGTCTGTGTGGGTTTCCTCCCAGTGCTCTGGTTTCCTCCCACAGTCCAAACATGTGAGGCTAGGTGAATTGGCTATGCTAAATTGCCCATAATGTTCGGGGATGTGTCAATTAGGTGGGTTTATAGGTGAATGGGTCTGGGTGGGATGGTGGGTTGGTGTGCACTTCTTGGGCTGAAGGGCCTGTTCCACACTGTAGGGATTCTATGAAGGAGGATTTGTCTGATTCTTTGGTGTCACTGAAGTGCTTGTTATCCAGACACATCTAACATTTTTACACATCTCCTATCAAAGGTAGATTTAACAAATACAAATACCTTATGTGTGCTCATAAAATACAATCATGGCAGATAGCTTTTTTTCTTCTCAGTGACATAATTGAAGTAAAGGATCTGTTTGAATTGTGTGCATTCTTACATTGGTTTGAATGTCAGCATTCCCAGACTGCCAGCTGTAGTAATTGTCACAAGGTCAGCCAGGTGGACCTCCTACAATGAGTTCCCTGATTAGAGCTGTTAATCTGGTCCAATCAGGCAGCCCTGGCTGACAGATTAAAAGCAGGATTGTCAGACATCCTATTACTTTGTCAGCTGGCTTGGAAGGGGTGTTAAGGACTTTCCATGTGTAAATAAAGGGTGACTTGGTGATGGGATACTGGCCTCTGTGGACTTATTTCACCAGCAACACAAAAACAAACAGACAGCAACTCTCATGATCTAAAGGAACCATTATAAGTTTGTTTTGTCAAATTAATACTACATATCTCTGCAGGAGATTGAGCACTAAAATTAATTATATTATTTACCAGGATGTGACATGACAAACTGGCCTCTGAATCGAACCTCTGTCTTGAAATTTACCACCAGCCGCCCTTCTTCATTAATTCTCATGCTGGTTGGACACAAAGCACCTACACAATGTGATCAAAACAAACATTTGCTTATTCAAAGTTTCCAGTTCTTAGGAAACCAGATCATACAATCATATTAAAGTAATAACTGAATTTGTCTGCAACCAACTCAGGAACTGTGCATATTCATCTGAGTTGTTTTAATGCAGATATAATTCCACTACTCTTAAAAACATAGTAAGTATAAGCTTCTAAAGGAAGGTTTAAGTAAGATTTTACAATGGCTCCATAAATAATGCCAAACTTCCAAAATAATTGAATTTAATAAATTGCTAGTTTTACATTATTTTCTTCACTTCTCTTTTACTGAACAAGTAAAATAGGGCAACTATCTTCCCTTCCTTGTCATTTACCATTTCTAAAATGCACAGCCTTGCTTTAAACAGATAATTGTTAGCTGCCTGTAGACTAGCTGAGCTGAAAGTCATTAATAGATTTAACACTGACACTTAATAGATTGTCTAGATCGAGCTCACTACCAATGAAGGAAATGGAAGTGGAGATCAATGATTTCCAGAGGAAATTGGATGGGCTGGTGAAAGAAATAAAATTACAGTTGTGGGCATAAAGTAGGAGAATGGGGCTTGCTGAATTTTTCTACAGTCACCATGAATTTGATGGGCTGAATAGTCTCCTCTGCACTTATATGACTTGATAATAGCTTCAGTCCATTAGTCTAAAGGTACAGTATGAAGTGAATTAGAGTGTCCAATATAAACAATTCACACTACAAAGCAGCAGACTCCAAAATTCCAAATTCCTTTCTAGATTTTAGTCTTGAACATACTGTGAGTATAAGTGATGGGCAAACAAAAGGAAAAGTAAAACCGATGTGAATTTATATATTTCTTTTTATGATCACCAGATGTCTCAAAGTGCTTTTCTTACATGAAATATATTTGGAAGTGTAGTAGCCATGAAAAAATAGGAAATGTGGCAGCCAATGTGCACTCAATAAACTCCCACAGACAGAAATGTGATAACAAACAGGTAATGTTGTTTTTGTGACATTGAGGGATAAATATTGGTCAGGATTTTCTTTAAAATAGTACCATGTGGCATTTTATCCAATTAAGCAGGCAGATGGACCACAGTGTAATATTTCATCCAAAAGATAACATCTCTGACAGTGCAGCACTGCTTCAGTACTGCTCTGCAGTGTTGCTGTAAATTTCTGTAGTTAAGTCCTGGAGCAAGATTTGAGCACAGTCTTTCTTCTGACTCAGCTGGAAGCATGCTACAAATTGAGCCATTGGTGATATTCAAAGTGAGGGATTTCCAACTCAACTTAGCTGGATGAAATTTTCTTGTGTCAGAGGAACCTGTATTCTGCACAAAAATATTGTCGCTGGGGGCCAAACTCTGGAACTCCATCTACAACAGTACTGTGGAAATAGTTCACAAAGAAGGTACACAGCCACCCTCTCAAGGGCACCTATGATTGGGCAATAAATGCTGGCCTTGCCAGTGACACCTATATCCTGACACTGAAGAAAAAGATTAATAATGCTGGCTATAGTTAAATGTAAGTGTCAAATCTAAAGAGGACACATGGGAGAGGGTCTAACACTGTCAGTCGAAGGAAGAGTAGATATTGCTATTGCTTAATAAGGAAGAATTAACACAACTGTTAGCCTCTTAAAGAAACAGGACATATTCTTGCAAAATTCATCTGAGTTATTTTAACGCAGACATAATTCCATTACTCCTAAAAGCTTTGCGACTGTGAGCTTCTAATGGAAGGTTTAAAGTAAGGTTTTACAATGGCTCCGAAAATAATACCAAACATTCAAAATACTTTGCAGTTATGCGTGATTGCTGGCTGGGTCAGCCTTTATTGCCCATCTCTATTTGCCCAGAGGGCAGTTAAGAGTCAACCACATTGTTGTGGGTCTGGAATCACACAGAAAGGCCAGACCACGTAAGGATATCAGATTTTGTTCCCTAAAGGACATTAGTGAACTAGATAAATTTTTATGACAACTGACAGTAGTAATCATTAGACTAGCTTTTCAATTCCAGATTTTTAACAAATTCAAATCTCTTGTCATGATTGGAATTTAAACCCAAGGCCCCAGAACGTTAGTCTAATGACATTACCACTATGCCACCACCTTTCCTTAGTTTGCTCATTCCTTTTCACTATATTGTTAATTTATCCTTGTTCTCTTACCATTTTGCAAAGTATAATGTCAGAGGTTGTCCACAGTAGGACAAGTCAGCTAAAAGGAAAATCAGTTCATTTACAATTCCCTCCAATTTGCTTCTCTGGGGAGTTCAGTAGAAATAAAAATTGTGCAAGATACACCTATTCCTTACCTTTTTATGTACTATTGCCCAAGACTAATTTCATTTTGTGTGGTCTTTAATGTGACAGTGTTGCTGTATATGCCTGACAACACAGTTTGAAGTGATCTGTGTAACAGTAGAATTGAGGCTGGCAGAACAACTTTTTATGTGTTAGCTTAATAAAATAAAATCTAAAACGTGAGCATTTTGTCAAACATTCACTGGCAGCAGATATAAAGTTTAAAGCAGCAAAATCTTAATACACAGGGCAATCTGATACTCATGCAGTACAATACCAGAAACATTGATTTAGCGTTTACACATAAGCTACAAAAAAAATACAGCACAGCAGCAGACCACATGGCCAAACCTGAATATATTGAGCTGTCACCTCCACCCGATCTGTAGTACTAATTCACAAATATATAATCTGCTCTGAAGAAGAGTCATATTGCACTTGAAACATTAATACTATTTCTCTCTCCACAGATGCTGCACACCAACTGAGTTTCTCCAGCACTTTGTTTTCATTTCACATATGCCTGTTTGTTACTGCATCCTTTTATTCTACTTTTCTTCAATTATCTGATTAATCTGTTCTTAAAATATTGACATGTTTTCTTCAAACACTGACTCCTGCTGTACAGGCCACAGCCCCACAAATCTCTGTAAAATTTAATTCTCCTGTTCTTTACCCTAAACTAATTTGGCAGAGGGATGGGGCATAGAGGGATGTAAAGTCAGGAGCAAGGTTCAGTCAAATATAGAAGGAATACTAGGGCAGTCCAGCAGGCAGAGAATACATGAGTTTGCCGGAAAGCTAAACTCTGTCTACTTTAATGCAAAGATCCTGACTGGTAAGATGAACTTAGAGCAGCAATGAGAATATGATATTACTGCAGTCACTGAGACTTAGTTGAAAGCAAGGGATGACTGGCAGTTCAACCTGCCAGAGTATAGAAGTTTCAGATGTGGGGATACGATGGCCTAGTGGTATTATTGCTGGACTATTAATCCAGAGGCCCAGATCATGTTCTGGGGACCCGGGTTTGAATCCTGCCATGGCAGATGGTGGAAGTTGAATTCAATAAAATATCTGGAATTAAGAATCTAATGATGACCATGAATCCATTGTCAATTGTCGGAAAAACCCATCTGGTTCACTAATGTCCTTTAGGGAAGGAAACTGCCATCCTTACCTGGTCTGGCCTACATGTGACTCCACACCCACAGCAATGTGGTTGACTCTCAACTGCCCTCTGGGCAATTAGGAATAGGCAATAAATGCTGCCTGGCCAGTGACGCCCTCATCCTGTGAATTAATAAAGAAAAAAAATACGATAGGGAAATGTAAAAGAGGTGGAGTATTGCATTATTGATTAAGGAGACCACCACTACAGTAATGATGGAGGATAGCTTAGAAGGCTGTTCAAATGAAACAATTTAGATCAAGCTTAGAAATAAGGGGGCAATCACTTTGCTGGATTATATTACAGGCCTCCTCTTGGTCAGAGGGAGATAGAGGAGCAGATATGTAGGCAAATCGCAGAGAGGTGTGACAGGAATAGTAGTAGGGAATTTCAACTTTGCTAACATTAATTGAATCATAGAATCCCTACGGTGTGAAAGCAGACTATTCAGCCTATCGTATCCACACTGATCCTCTGAAGAGCATCCCACCCAGACCCACCACCTCTATCCTATCCCTGTAACCTTGCATTTCCCATGGCTAACCCACCTAGCCTGCACAACCCTGGACAGTATGAGCAATTTAACTTAGTCAATCCACCTAACCTGCACATCTTTGGACCACCTTTCGAGTCCCCTTAGTGTGAAAGGATTAGGTGGGGTGGAATTTTTAAAGTTTTTTAGATGGAGATCCTGCCTGACTAATTTAATTGAGTTTTTTGAAAAGGTGACAAAATGTATCAATGAGAGTAGTAAGTTGATGTAGTTTACATGGACTTCAGAGGGCTTTTGACAAAGTCCCACGTGGAAAGCTGGTCTGAAAGGTCTGAGCACATTCAATTCAAGGCTAGTTGGCAAACTGGATCCAAAACTGGCCAGTAAATAGGAGGCATAGGTGACAGTGGAAGATTATTTTTGTGATTGGAAGCCTGTTAAAGCGATGTACTAAGGGATCAGTGCTGGGACCCTTGGCATTTGTTATATACATTAACAACTTGAATATGAATGTAGAAGCTATAATTAGTAAGTTTGCATATGATACAAAAATTGGTGGTGTTATTGATAGTGAGGAGGATGGTCTCATGCTGCAGTCTGATACTGATCAGATGGTAAATTTGGCAGAGCAATGACAGATGGAATTTAATCCTGGTAAGTGTGAGGTGATGCAATTTGGTAGGCTTAATAAGGGAAGGATGTGCACAATGAATGGTAGGTCCTTAGGAAGTACTGAGGATCAAAGGAACCTTGTTGCACAAGTTCACAGATCCTCAGAGATGTCAGGTGAAGAAGGCAGAATGGGATGCTTGTCTTCATTGGCTGGGCTGTAGAATATAGGGGCAGTGAAGTCTTTTTGCAACTTTATAGAGCATTGATTAGGCCACAGATTTAATGAAGTGTGCACGTCTAGTTGTCACACTATCAAAAGGACATGATTGCGTAGGAAAGTATTCAGAGGAGATTAACCAGGATGTTGCCTGGGATGGAAACTCTCAGTTATGCGGACAACCTGGATAGGCCGGATTTGCTTCCTTGGAACAGAGGAGCTGAAGGGGGATCGATTGAGGTATACAAAATTACGAGAGGCATAGATTGGGTAGATTGTGACAATCTATTCCCTATGGCAAATGTGTCTAAAACCACAGGTTTAAGGTGAGGAGTAAGTGGTTTAGTGTGGATCTGAGAAAAAAAAAGTTTCACCCAAGGGTGGTAGAAATATGGAATGCACTGCAACATTTAAGACCATCTGGGTGAGCATTGAAAATGCCAGGACATAGTAGGCCCTGGACCATGTGCAAATAAACGGGATTAATATAGTTTGGTGTTGTTGGTCAGCACTGACATGGTTAGTCGAAGGGCTGATTTCTATGCTGAATATTTCTATGACTGTATAAATTTATTGCATTTAAACCTATGTCAAAATCAAGGTGACTTTCTGAAAAAGCCAGTCTTTCAGACTTGTTTCTTCATATTTATCAATATGCTTAAGAGACTCTTTTTTTGTTGAATGGGATAGGGAGAGTTTTTGGATGGGTAATTAGATATGCAGTTCTAATTAAGACTGTTTCTATTGGTTTAACGGTGCTGGCTATTTATCACCTCATTCCGCAGGAATAGTATTGCTTTCATTTCCAGTTCACATTCAAAGCAAATCAGACACAAACTCGTGGTGATCGTAATTTCCTCACTGGAATGAGAATCAACGCTTGTGGCAACTCAAACGTTCCAGTAATTCAACCTTATTCTAAATAACAAAACTCAGTATTACCCAAAGTAAATAGCTGGAATCTGTCCCTCAATCAGATAGAACTTTTATACAAGTCTTCTAGTTTTCAACATCTGACATTATGCTCTGGAATATAGTGAAAGAACAGAGAAATCAACATTTCAAAGTGCAGAAACTCCAAGGTGGGGCCAAATCTTTTTTGTTTGCTTTAATGATTGTATTTTAGTTTTCATTTTTGGTAGTGTGTGCTGCTCATTACATGCTGCGGCAGCAGTTTATTTTAATAAACATAGACATAGGCATTAAAAACTTGACTATTCTGGCTAAGTAATAGCTGAAACTGAACTTTGACTTCTCTCAGTAAACAGCATGCCCATTCACCTACAACTAGCAATACTGGAGAAGGGTCCTGGACATGCTGTGTTTGTGAATGAAAAATATGCAGCAGATGGGAGGCTAGCAAACAAAACAATTGAAAGAAATCTGCAAAGATTTTATGAGTATGGGTACTCTGTATTCCAAGCAACTCATGAATCAAAATTTCTTTAAAATACCTTGTAGCTCAGCCTCTGGGGGGCTGCCAATACCATCTTTCCACAAGATGGCAGTATCATACACAAAGGTTAGCTTCAGTTCAGATTGCAGGTCAAAGTGCTGCCAGCCACCAACAGCGGCAGGGGAGTGGAAGATGTGGGAGACGTAAAGAGGGACGTGAAGAGTGACATAAGATTGGACTAAATTCAGGACCTACAATTCAAACAGAAAGAAAATTAACCACTATAAAGAGAAGAGTCTGATGAAAGGTAATCCACCAAGGTTCATAATATAATCAGCGCTTCAAGGTGGTGCCTTTTATTTGGAAATCTGAAAAGTTAAAAATAATTCTTAAATCTACATAATCACAATATGAAGAAAAAGTTGTCTTTAATGCCCTGAAATTCGTTCCAGGAGCAAAAGCAAGTTAACCCAAGAGAGGTCTTCTTCCTACACCCAGTGTGAAAACGCTGTGTTTACTCAAATTTCCTAGAATCTCATTAAATTATGCCAGAATGCAAAATTAGGCATAAATGATCATAAACAACTGAATCTCAAAACAGTACTGAATTTACACCTTTCTTTAGGTATTTAGTTAAAAGTTTAACTCATTTTCCTAATAATGATTTATTAAGTCACATAACTGAGCTGTGTCTGCATTACATATGTCTGATATATAAAAATAATTCAAAGCTGTACTGACCAAATGAATAGCCACACTTGGCATAATATTTTGAAGACAGTGCTCATTGGTTATTATTAACTTAGTATAAAGTTCAAGTGTACTATTTTTATGCCAGACATCCTTAAAAGACTCTAATTATCCACTTTACACTTTAATTACCTTTATGTAATTGTCTATGTGAAATTCAAATAAATTTAAATCACAATATAACAGATTTCAGTCCAATTATTAGTAGATAACAGGCAATACGAAACTATCAGAGACCTAGATTTGGTGAAAGTGAATAGCACAGTCAGCTAGATTGTACATGGACGTGGTGAAACTGGTGAATATGGTCAGTCAAACTGGAGTTTGATATGGTGAAAGTGGACCATGGAGACATGGTAAAAGTGGGAAGCAGATTTATCAACACAGATACGTTGAAAGTGAAGAGAGCACAGTAAGCTACACTGAACCTTGATATGGTGAAGTGGGAAACACGGTTGGCTTCAATGGATCTGGGTAAGATGTTCTGAAAGGGTATACACTGCGTGGTTATCTACATTGGGGCGAGCCAGCAAAAGGAGCATCTGTATTTAACATTCAGAGGACATCTACAACTCTTGGAATTCTCACACTCTATCTCAAAATAGGCTTTCAGCTGGATCAAGTAAAGTTTGTTCTACAATACATAAAGCGGCACCCAACAGGAGCAGTACTTACAGAAAAATCAGTATAGAGATGACAGTGGCTGGTTTGGAGTGGTCAGCACATTCTGATTGTGCATTTTAAATTGGGAGCACAATGAACTAGTTACACTCACCATTGAAGAAATAATTTTCAAAAAAAACGGGGAAAAAGGAGTGAGTGAGATTAATTGGAAAAGCTCTTTGAACAGGCTCAGAATATTGCAAGGTTTATTCTTATTTGTTTAAGTCATTGTCACCAGCACTGGCAGAAAAAAAATGGGGCACTTGCTGCAGGAGTAGGGAATGCTGATGGGACTACATGATTGGAGGTAAAGCCGACTAAGTTTGTTTTGGGGTGGGGGCGGTGGTGGCTTGAGGGATGTTGATGATTTCCCTTTCCTTAGACTTGGCTGGAACCAATTGCTCATCTCTAGGCCTCCATCTACTAACACTGCTTAGAGCTAGTCCCCAGGAGCGGCATAGGACGAGCAGCGATAATTTTTCCTCTCTGACTTTCCTTTTCTAACATATGCTTGGTGTTTCTCCACAGCTGGAATAGGAATAAGTAAGAATGACTGCACCCATTTTTAACAAGGGTGTGAACAAAATACAGAACAGGCAACGCATCTTACCTGTCCATCAGTTCCAATGGTGCCTTCACAGTCTGTTAGAAGTTCAGACATGTCATAGTAGCTCGTGAATTTCCAGAGACATGCTTCAAGATTGAGGTTTTGGTAGAATCGAAGGGTACTTGCAGAACGCAGAGAAGTGCTGCATTGATATGGATATGTTTCTCCAATCACTTCAAGGTTCTTTGTGGCATCATTGATGAAGCCATAATTGGTGCAGACTTCATTGTGATCTAACAGATTGGAACATTTATGGTTACCAACTCGAGTGCCATCTAGGCTTAAGGTCAACTCAAAGTTGGACAGTGGCCGAGTTGAGATGACAGGGAGCATGCCTGAAAAATAAAATATCTTAGCACAGTAAAGTTAAAAAGTGAACTCATGACATCAGGAAAGTTATCTGCTAAAGAGTTGGATATTTGATTTCATTAATTAAGACTATAGTATTACATGCCCTGTGGATTAGACTCTTACCACTGAGCTTTATCTACTGCTTTAACAAATACTTCTATTGTAATCACTGTGGCTATATTTCAAAGGAGGAAGAATGCTCTTTTCTTATCTTCCAAATGGCATTTCTGGTTGTAGTTTTCCACTGAGTGCTTACCAGGTTATATTCATTTTAATTGTCTGTGGGTTGCGAAATACAGTATTGGAAATTCCAGCCTCTATTTGTTACCAGTTTTATTTTGATGATGGTAATTCACTATCTGGTGAATCATTACTGTCTGGCACAACCTCTTTGAATTGCAGTACGAGTATTCCTTCTTACACATTTCCAAATGTCCTTTCATTATTTCCCTAGGAGACTCCAATACATTACTAATATTAAAAAGGAACAGCACGATGTTCAGTTCTACACTGCGCAGATGCTTGAGAAGGGAAATCCAGTGAATATAAAGAACTTCAATGGTTGAATTGATATAGCTGGAAGTATGTAAAGTTGGCTGTTTTATTATAACTTAAACTAAACTGTTTTGTACTCATCCAATTGTTTATTAATTATGAGTTGTTTTAATCTGAAATTTCTTGTCTAAGCCCAGAGGTTTCAATTCTTAACATGGCTGCTCTGCTGAGCCTCATCTTTTTCTGCAGAATAATATTGCACACATAGTGCTTACATAGAAAATCATTTTCTCTGCTAATTTATAGATGACAATATGATTCAAAATAGCAGAGAAAGAAATTTGGTGGAAGGTTGAATAAAAACATTGTTCACAACAAATTTGTTATATTACTTTATGCACCAGTGAACAATCCTGATGACAGCTTTATGACCCTTACATTAATCTTCTTCCTATTTTTAATCCTAATGGATCTGCCATTACCTATATTCATTATTGAGCATCAGATGTAGCAGATTACAGAAATGAGCTTTTGTGGTCATGTCATGAATTATCAGCATTTTTTGGCAGGCTGAGTTCACCTGTGTATTACTCAGCTCCAACGTCTGAGTGTAAAAATCCTTCCTGTGCAGTTAGTAGCTCAGACCATCAGGATTCAAAAATAATTTCAAACAGTGGAACTTTTTTATGAACCAAAGGTTTTCAAACTACTTAAGTAAATAATGTCTGATGAGCGTACAGCATACAGCATTCTGCCTAGTTTGCAAAATTTCACAAAGGGAATTTCTATTCCTTTTTTTACTGCTAATTTTTTCTCTACTTTGACCAATGGTCCTCGAAACTTGACTCCCGTGTTCATGCTATAAATTTGAAATGTGCAATCCTACGCACTCTCCTACTTGACTTTGCTGAATCCCTGCTTTCCCAATATCTCAATGATCTAGAAAGCCTTAATCCATCAAACTTTTCTCCTTTCTTTTAAAACCTAAACTTAGTGCCATCTTATTAGCCTATTGTTCACTTTCCTTTTAATCATTTTAGCCTTGGCATATCAACACAATGAATCCTGGTCTTTTAAATGCTTCTCAATTAGTGTGTAAACAAGGTATATCCAGGTATATTTTAAGAATAGTCTTTGTTATTCTCATGTTATACTAACTGTTCTGGTGCTGGCAGCAACTAAAAGAGGAGATGGTAGAAGTAGTCATTGTACAAGCACAACAGTGAAGATGCAGTTACCATCCATGTGAGGTGTGATCACAGTCAGCTTGATAAGGTTCGGATGGTCAGGATCATCTGAGGCTGTGTAACGCAACTTTGCAGAGAAAGGCTCTGCTCCAACTGTTCCCAGAATACGTGACTGGCAAAGACCTAGAAACAACAACCATATGGAAATCTCCTTCTGTAATCAGTCACATGAACCATCACCACTGAGGCAGTATGTCTTGAGATACTTCTAAAATTTAAAATATAATGACCAATAGCACCACTTCTGCACCATTAGAACTGACTGGAGGAAGCTATTGCATGTTTTAGTCTTGGTTTTTTGTAATAATTATTGGTAATTTTATTGTCCAAATCAATTTTCACAATTTCTTAGCTCAGAACATTAGGATTTAAAAATCATTTCAAAAAGTAGAAATTTTTTATTAATCAAAGAGGTCTTCAAAACACTTAAGTAAATAAAACAAATAAATGAGGATGTGGAATTCTGAAACAAACAAAAACAGAAATTGCTAGAGAAACTCAGCCTATCTGTTAGCATTCTGTGACCCTTCTTCAGAACTCAAAACGTTAACTGTTTTCTGTCCAAAGGTGCTGCCAGATCTGCCAAATTTATCCAGCAATTTTTATTTTTGCTTGTTTCGAAATACTTATGTTTCATGGCCAATTAAACTTTAAGCACGAGTGGTAGATGTAAAATACATCAATAATGTGGTAAATACTATAAAAAAAAGGTTAGTATATGAAATTCTTCCCTGTGCTGTTTGTTTGGTATAACATTAGCTATGTATGGTACACTAGTAAAAGGTAATGAGAAAAGCCTGCATTTTAGTCTGAGAGTTTACTTTATAAAGTCGGGTATTTCCTGACTATTGAAAATGGCCACTTAGACAATCAGATTTTCATTCTGAGGAGGTGGGGTGGACTACATTAGAAGTTGGGCCTGGCAATCTCAGACTTTGGACCAAGAGTATACTGAGTGTGGAGACAAGTTGGAATGAAGGCCTCTCTCCATGTACCAACACTACTGTGGTTTCAAAACTAAATAAAACAGCCCTAATCACATCCAAACACTCTCCTTGACCCATCAGCAGAACTTGTACCTAGCCTCCACAGTTCATCCCATCCATGCCAAGTTATGTCTGGCTATCCACTCCCCATGGCCTTCTTATAGGGCCGGTGCCAACTTACACCACTCTCTCCATGCCCATGTCCTTTTATAACCTGCATGACAACACATGCCCTTTTACCCTTTCCATGTATATGACTCTTGAGAGCCCTAAACTAATTTAGTGCCAACTCATTCATCGACCCATCATAATTTGCCATTAAATTGACTAGAGTAACTCACCTTGCAACTACCAAAAGCTGATCTCAGGACCAATGCAGTGGTGAAATAAAGTACAATTCTATTACATAAAGCTGTAACAATGTACTGAAGGCTTCAGTATATTGGATAAGAAACTTATTTTCTGAAGAAGGGTCTAGACCCGAAACGTCAGCTTTCCTCCTTCTCTGATGCTGCTTGGCCTGCTGTGTTCATCCAGCTCTACACCTTGTTATCTCTCATTCATTAAAACCCATTTACTAAATTTACATTTCTTCAACTATATACTGCCTTAGAAAAACAGAACTTTTCATTCAGGTGCACAATTTCTTGAATTCACTGAATTCATTTTTAGCCCTATTTCAAAGGTTCTATAACCACTTGCAGCTGCCAATCAAATTGTGAACTAGCAGGCATTCTACTGTGATAATGGATTGTTACGAAATCAGTCATACAGCAGTAATCTAACAATAGAAATCCTCAGGCTAATGGCAATAGACTGAGTGAAATAGCAAACAATGATTTCTTTTTAACTCTTAGGCATCTACTGCAAAGATTTACAGCATAGGACTTTTAAGAGCTTTGACAGCTCCCTTCGACAGTTGCTTTTGTCAAGTCCTCTTGACACCTCTGACAGGTTCTATTCACAGACACACTTTAAATTCTTGACAGTTCCTCTTGATAAGCCACCTTGAAAGATTCTTTTGACATACCATCTTGACAGTAGCTTTTGATACTTTTGATAGTTAATTTTGATCTGTTGACAGTTCCAATGAGCTTGACAGTTAGTATTTTTGCACTTATCACAAACAGCTATGCCTACTTTTAACCATTTCTAAGGATCCCTAACCTCCTTCAAAGGTGTTCTGAGACCATATCCAAAAGAGGACCTTATTCTACAAAGAGATGCCCTTCTATCCATTGAAATACATGAAGTTCAGACCTGCTCTTACCAGATCTACACTTTACATTGCAGGTTTCAGAGCCCTGAACTATAAAAATTTGATGAGTAGAGGCATCTGATGATTTAAATAGCCAGGTACCTCTGTGAAACACATGCCGAAATCCAGACCCACTCTAACCTGTGCAAAAACGGTAAGTGCCCAGTTTAAGTATGGGACTTGTGATTTACTAGCTCATCTGCTATATTCACCATCAGCTCCTCAATGGCAGACCAACGCAGTGACAATTCAGGCCAAAGTTTCTGTTAGTGTGTGAATTTATAAGTTTAAAAGAAAGACATGGACAATTAATTCAAACATTGAGTGAATTATTTTTCACTACTGTGAAGTTCAACTTTGTGTTTTAAAACTGACAACTTCTTTCTATTTATTAAAAGGTAACTCTTACAATTGAAACAAATTATAAAAAGATGTTCTTGTGGGGTTCTCCAACCAAAAATCAGTGGAACTTCTGAAGAAATGAAGAAAATAAACAGCTAATAAAAATGGCTATTGACATTATTTCCCAGGTATTCTGTCAATATACTGCACAGGATGTGGGAGAACATCATGTGAGTTCTAAACTGTGGTGCTTTTGAGATTCATTATTAGCACCAATGCTAGAATAATGTATTATTGATGACTCAACCTACTGTTACGTTATGTGGGAAAAATAACAAATTATTTGCACATATCAAGTCAGCACAAACAGTACTCTGATGATGGCAACATAATTTACCTTTATTGTTCATTAAGTAATAAATAGTCAAGACACGAGGGGCATGTGTGTGCAATAGATGAAGATGGGGTCAAATTTGGCTGTGATCATTTGCCTGCCCAAGGATAAATGGTTGCTAATCATGTCTGAACAATATCTACTTTATCAATGTCTATTCAATTATGTTTTTAAGTTTGCTAATTTCTTTAAGGTTATGGCTATTAATGTCTGAGCATATCTATATACACTGGGTGGCAAGGGAGCAGTAGACTGTGCAGTCAATAAACCAAACAAAAAGGTAGGTGTCTCAGTTTTCTCAGTTTTGTTGGAGGTGTAAATCAACATTCTTAGGAAAAACAGAGAGGATAAAAAAATGTCAAATTATTACAAAAATAAATAGGGAGGGAGTTGCTGATAAATGCTATAATGAATCTTTCAAATTTTCATATGTTACAGCTAATTGCTTACCATCTTCTTTGCTGACTGTACTGATGGGGCTGAGAAGCTCCAGACCAGCTTCACCAGCAGCAGTGAAAGCCCTGGCAGCACACTGCACCCTGGAGCCTGCCTGGAAGTAGATTGGATCTAAGGTGATGAGTTTGGTGCTGGCGAAAAATGTGTTGGAATCTACTTCATGCATGGGGCTGGTCACTCCATCGAGGCCACTGGGAGCACTGAGAAGCCAACGGTATTGAGTCAAAGTGTCATTGATATTCTCAGCTGAACAGATCGAGCCAGTCTTATCATAGTCTGAATATTTTGGATTACAGGCCTGGAGGAAGAAAGATAAAGTGTAAGCTCTATCGCTAAACAGTATCAAATCAAAGATATAGGGATACATCTATGAGGTCCAGTGGCATTGAAACTATGTGTGTAACATCTCCTGGTGGCCAGCGTTTTTCTTATCATTATTCACTGGTTGAGCTGGAATTTGTTGCCGATTGTTGGTTGCTGTTGAAATGAGAGCTTTGCTAGGCCATTGCAGAGGGCAATTAAGATGTATATGTAGGCCAGACCAGGTAAGATCACCAGTTTTCCTTCCCTAAACAATGTCAGTGAATCAACTGCATTTTCACAACAATTAGCAATGACTTCATAATCTTCATTAGACTTTTAATTTGTATTGAATTTATTTTCCACCGTTTGCGTGGTGAGATTTGGACCTGGGTCTCCAGAATATTATCTGGATCTCTGGATTACTAGTCTAGTGACAAATCCACTATGCCTTCATCTCTTCCCATGTAGCATTGCTGAAAAGTCTGAGTCTATTGTCCAAAGAGGTGTATGGAAGAGGGCAGTAGAAAAATATCAAATAAGTTGTGAGATGATAAACTCTCACCATGCATCAGATTTAATTACAAAAGCAGCACAAGCTCACAGAAAAGATGCATTTTCTCATTAATTTATTTCATTGTGTCGAATTATTAATGATCTTCAATGACATTAACAGCAATGTTTTCTTACCGTGACACAGACTACAGGGTAACCAGCAGGTGGATTGGGAGTTTCGCTTGCTTTTGCAGTGTCATCGTACATCAGGAGTGAGATAACTTGTGGAATAGCTGGGAAGGTGACGTCAGCCACACTGTCCATTTCCTCAATGTACACAATAGCTTTGCTCATCTGAATGAAGAGTAAACAAATCAAAGATACCTATATATAATAAGTACTCCGATTTATATGTTTTCTCTAATCAGAAGACGACTGAAGTAAACCTAATGCAACAGGGCCCTCAACCAGGTCCGACCCATCTCCCGCACTTCCACTCTCACCCCTTCTCTTCCCTCCTGCAACAGCGATAGGGTTCCCCTTGTCCTCACCTACCATCCCACCAGCATCCACATCCAGAAGATCATCAGACACCATTTCCACCACATCCAGCAAGATGCCACCACCAGACACATATTCCCCTCCTCTCCCTTGTTCGCCTTCTGTGGGGACCGTTCCCTCTGGAACACCCTAGTCCACACTTCCTTCACCTTTCCACAGCCCTACGGCACCTTCCACTGTAACCGGCGAAGGTGCAACACTTGCCAATTTACCTCCTCCCTCCCCAGCATCCAAGGGCCCAAACATACCTTCCAGGTGAAGCAACACTTTACCTGCACTTCCCAGAATCTAGTTTACTGCATTCGCTGCTCAAAATGTGGTCTCCTCTACATTGGGGAAACGAAGCATAGACTGGGTGACGGCTTCGCAGGACATTTATGTTCTGTTCGCAGAAAAGACCCTGAACTACCTGTTGCCTGCCACTTTAACGCACCAACCTGTTCCCTGGCCAACATCTCTGTCTCTGGCTTGCTGCAGTGTTCCAGCAAAGCTCAATGCAAGCTGGAAGAACAACACCTCATTTTCCACTTGGGGCCACTGCAGCCCTCCGGACTCAATATCGAGTTTAATAATTTTAGGGCCTAAACTCTCCCATGTCCCAGCCCCCTACAACACACCAGACCTTGTTACCATGTAGCCTGTCATTACACATTACCTGTTGGTAGTCACTAGTAGTCCCCATTAACAACTATTCACCCTCCCAGCCTGACTGTTACCGACTCTTCGTCTGTCCAACAGCTCTTCTCTCTCTTTAGGCTCTATCCTATCGTTTACTCCCTACCCCATCCCCCTCCCCATTTTTCTGCATATAAACTGATGCTTTCCCAGCCACCATCAGTTCTGAGGAAGGGTCACCGGACCTGAAATGTTAACTCTGTTTTTGTCTTCACAGATGCTGTCAGACTTGCTGAGCTTTTCCAGCAACTTTATTTTTGTGCAATGGAATCATTTACTTACTCAAAACACCACTATATTTTGGTCACAAAAAACATCAGCAATCACAAGGTGGAGATGGGAAATTTCACAGTACAAATTTAAAAACTTTTAGAATTGACTTTTAGAAGATGCACTGAGAGTGGCAAGGATGCAAATATACTCTGAATAGCTGACTTTAATGCCTATAACCAAGTATGGTTCAGCTGCACTACTACCACTGACCAACTCGGTTAAGTCTTAAAGGACACAGCTGTCGACTGGGTCTGTCACAATGGACAGGGAAGTAAAAAGCAGAAAACCTACTTGACCTTGTCCTCAGCAAGCTATCTGTAGCAGATGTGTCCGTCCATGAGAGTATCAATAGGACTGACCACCAAACAATTATTGTGAAAATGAGGTCATGCTTTCACATTGAAGGCACAGCTGCCCCTATGGTAAATGCGATATTGCTCAAGCTTTTGAAAATTTCAGAATTATGAGATCCATTGGCCATCAGCTGAAGTATGCACAACCATAATCTGTAATATTATAGTCTGGCATAGTCCCCAGTCTCTATCATTGTCATCAAGTCAGGGACTAAGCCTAACTCAATGAAGAGTGAAGGTGGGGCATGCCAGGAACAAGACAAGGCATACCTAAATATGAAGTGTCAACCTGGTGAAGATAAAGTATAGGACTCACCATCATTGTTACAAATCTCTCACTAACAAGTATGATTGGCCAACTAGGAAATTCCGTATCACAGGTCATGGATTTTAAGGGTCCTTGTGTAGCTAATGAGCCTGATCCTAGAGTCACATCACCCACCACACATTTGGCAGCTGCTTCTGGGTGGTGGAAGTGGTCCTTGGCTTTGATATAGCTGGCATTCCTTTCACTGGTTCCTTTTCCATACTGTCTCTTGCCAATGGGCTTTTATGAAGAATTGTGTCCCTTCACACAGAAGTTTCCCACATGTTGGTTTCTTATGAATCAGAGTTTCCTCATGTGTTGATGTCTATGTGGCCTTTCTTGAGGGAAGCCTTCAGGAGTCTTTGAAACGCTTCCATTGTCTTTCTCTCGTGCAACTGCCTTACATGAGCTGGGCATAAAAATTTACTTTGGCAGTCAGAACTCAGGCATTTAAGTATGTGGCCAGACCAGTGTAGTTGGTTTCAGATCTCGGTGCTGGTAGTGTTACTTGCTTCAAACGTACTGATGTTAATATTTCTGTCTCCCAGCTGATGCAGAGTATCTGACTTAAACAATGTTGATGGTACTTCTCAAGGGTCTTGAAGTGGATTCGAGATAGTCCATGTGTCAGAACTATATAGAAGAGACAAAAGGATGACTGCCTTATATAGAAGGTTCTTGATATCAGCACAATTGTTACAGTCATTAAAGACCCTCAACATTAGGTGGCATCTGTAGACTGGATGTGATGTTGAATCTCTGCACAGATGTCAGCCTTGGGTGAGCAGTAGATTTGCAGGTAAGAGAAATGTTCCATACTTGAGAGGTTTCTCCGTTAATCTTAATGGAAGGATGTTCCAGAACTTGAGCTGGGACTGGTTGGTAAAGGATTTGAGTCTTCTTGAGGGTTGAAGCTAAGGCCAATTCTTCAGTATGCTTCCAAGGAGGTATTAGGTGAGGCTTGAAGATTCTGTTTCAAGAACAGAAATTACATTGTCATCTGCATATTGAAGTTTGATAAGCGAGGCTGGTGTCATTTTCTTCTTGGATTTCACCTGACTGAAATTGAAAAGTTTTCCACTCATCCTGTAAACAATGTCCACATCACTGGGAAGTTTGATATTGACAAAATGAAGAATAGTAGCAATGAAGATGGGGAAAAGTATGGGGCTGATGACACATCTTGCTTGATCCCTGTCTTAACCATAAAGCATTCTGTTATATTATCATCCATGAAGATCATTGCCAACATCTTGTCATGGTGGAGGCAGAGAATGTTGATGTATTTGACCCACAACTGGCACTTCCCTTGACTGAATCAAAACATTTAGTCAGATCGATGAAGGACATTTAGAGTGGGTGGTATTGTTTCTGGCATTTTTCTTGGATTTGCCAAGCAGTGAAAGTCATGTCCATAGCTCCACAGTTTGGTTACAAACCACATTAACTTTTAGGAAGCATGTCCAGAGACTTGGTGAAGGTAGGCAGGAGGATTTTGGCAATGATCTTTCCTTTAATGGAGAGTAGGGAGATTGTCTCCTTTCTTGAAGACAGTGGCAACGGCAGTATCCCTGAGATCAGCAGGGATTTATTATCTGTCCCAGATTTTCAGGAACAGTCAATGGAGATGACGGGTAAGCTCTGCTCCTCCAAGTTTGGAAATCTCCACTGGAATCCCATCTGCTTCTGTGGCTTTTCAAGCTTCATGTGTCTAAAGGTGTCTACAACTTCCGCCACGCTAGGTTGGAGTTCAAGATCATCCCTGATGGGGAGTTGAGCGGTTTCCTCAATCAACGGCTGTATCATTATAAAGGATATTAGTGAACAAGATGGCTTTTTCCTGACAATCAATTAATAATGCTATGGTGGGATTTGAACCCATGTCCCTAGAACATTAGATAACAAGGTATAGAGCTGGATGAACACAGCAGGCCAAGCAACATCAGAGGAACAGGAAAGCTGACGTTTCGGGTCGAGACCCTTCTTCAGAAATGGGGGAGGGGAAGGGGATTCTGAAATAAATAGGGAGAGAGGGGGAGGCGGATAGAAGATGGATAAAGGAGAAGGTAGGTGGAGAGGAGACAGACAGGTCAAAGAGGCGGGGTTGGAGCCAGTAAAGGTGAATGTAGGTGGGGAGTTAGGGAGGGGATAGGTCGGTCCAGGGAGGACGGACAGATCAAGAAGGCAGGATGAAGTTAGTGGGTAGGAGATGGGGGTGGGGCTTGAGGTGGGAGGAATGGTTAGGGAGGCGGGGATGAGCTGGGCTGGTTTTGGGATGCGGTCAGGGGAGGGGAGATTTTGAAGCTTGTCAATTCCACGTTGATACCCTTGGGCTGCAGTGTTCCCAAGCGAAATATGAGATGTTGTTCCTGCAGCTTTCGGGTGGCATCATTGTGGCAATGCAGGAGACCCAGGATGGACATGTCATCCAAGGAGTGGGAGGGGGAGTTGAAATGGTTTGTGACTGGGAGGTGTAGTTGTTTGTTGCGGACTGAGCGTAGGTGTTGCGCCAAGGGGTCCCCAAGCCTCCGCTTGGTTTCCCCGATGAAGAGGAGGCCACAACGGGAAAAGCAGATACAGTATACCACATTAGCAGATGTGCAGGTGAACATCTGTTTGATGTGGAAGGTCTTCTTAGGGCCTGGGATGGGGGTGAGGGAGGAGATGTAGGGGCAGGTGTAGCACTTGCTCCGGTTGCAAGGAAAAGTGCCGGGTGTGGTGGGGCTGGAGGGGAGTGTGGAGCGGACAAGGGAGTCACGGAGAGAGTGGTCCCTCCGGAAAGCAGATAAGGGTGGGGAGGGAAAAATGTCTTTGGTAGTGGGATCAGATTGCAGATGGCGGAAGTGTCGGAGGATGATCCAGTGTCGGAGGAGGATCAATGTGGACTTCACAAGCTTCAAAATCTCCCCTCCCCCAACCGCATCCCCAAACCAGCTCAGCTTGTCCCCGCCTCCCTAACCATTCCTCCCACCTCAAGCCCCACTCCCATCTCCTACCCACTAACTTCATCCTGCCTCCTTGACCTGTCTGTCTTCCCTGGACCGACCTATCCCCTCCCTAACTCCCCACCTACATTCACCTTTACTGGCTCCAACCCCGCCTCTTTGACCTGTCTGTCTCCTCTCCACCTATCTTCTCCTTTATCCATCTTCTATCCGCCTCCCCCTCTCTCCCTACTTATTTCAGAATCCCCTGCCCCTCCCCCATTTCTGAAGAAGGGTGTCGACCCGAAATGTCAGCTTTCCTGCTCCTCTGATGCTGCTTGGCCTGCTGTGTTCATCCAGCTCTACAGCTTGTTATCTCAGATTCTCCAGCATCGGCAGTTCCTACTATCTCCCTAGAACATTACCTGGGTCTCAGGATTAATAGTCTAGTGATAATACCACTAGGGCATTGCCTAACCTTATTAAGCAAAGAAGTGAACCTACACCTCTTCAAATCATTGGTCAGACCACATTTGGAGTATTGTGTTCAGTTCTAGGCACCTTATTTAAGGAAGGATGTTAAAGCCTTGGAGTGAGAGTTTAAAGGATCTTTACTCCAAAGATACCAGGAATGAGGGATTTGAGACACAAGGGAAGAAAACAGAAATTGGACTTACTCTCCTTGTACCAGTGAAGATTAAGAGGTGACCCTATTGAGGTGTTCAATAATTGTGACAACATAAAGTAATATATTCTGTTTCCACTAGATGGCATGTCACTAACTAGGGGTCACAATTTCAAAGTTGTCATCAAGAGAGTTAGGAGTCAGATGAGGAGAAACTTCTTTATTTAGAGAGTTGTTAGTATTTAGAATATGCTGTTTGAGAGAGTGGTGAACCTGAATTCCATAAGAGGTTTCAAAAGACAGCTATACGTATATATTTGAAAGTGATGAACTTAGAAGGCTATGGAGATAGGGCTGGACAATGAGACTTGCTCGGTAGCTCTGGCATCTGGCGAAGGCGATCAGCGGCTTGCGAGGCCAGTCAGACCACTTGTGGAAACCTATGGTGATTTACTGCAATGTAATGTTTATCTGACTGTAATGTTTATCCTTTTGACTATGTCTTAGAAATAACTAAGTTATACTACAAATCACTGTAAGGTAATCCAACTTCTATTCTTTTTAATTCCTCTTTTTGTAAACTTTTCACTGTATTCCTGTACTTGAATACATGGGACAATAAAGTATGTTCTAATTCTTTCTGCAGCCGGTACAGACGTGATTGGTCAAATTGCCTCCTTCTTTACTGTAAAATTCTATGATGCTAACACCACTTTTTCAAGAGCAATTAGGAATGTGTAAGTAATACTGGCCCAGCTAGTGACATCCACATCCTGTGAATGATTAAAAAAAATGAATTTAACAGCTAATAAAAGCACCATGCAAGCATGGGGAGAACATGCAAACTCCAAACAGACAGTCACCCGAGGCTGGAATCAAACCTGGGTCCTGGTGCCGTGAGGCAGCAGTTCTAAGCGCTGAGCCACCATGCCACCCCTTCCTAATGATGTGGAGGTGCCGGTGTTGGACTGGGGTGGACAAGGCCAGAAATCACACGACACCAGGTTGTAGTCCAACAGGTTTATTTAAAAGCACAAGCTTTTGGAGCATAGCCCCTTCGTCAGGTGAAGTGCTTCTTTCTCACTTCACCTGACGAAGGGGCTACACTCGAAACCTTGTGTTTTCAAATAAACCTGCTGGACTATAACTTGGTGTCGTGTGATTTCTGACCTTGCCCCTTCTTTAGGTAGTAGCATTACACTAACTACCCTCCAATCCATGGGATCTTTTCCAAAGCCAATTTAATCTTGAAACATGACTACCGAAGCATTCACCGTTTCTAGGGCCACTTCCTTCAGAACGCTGAGATGTAGACCATTGACCCCTGTGGGTTTATAATCCTTTAATCCCTAAATTTCCCCAATACTGTTTCTCTAATAATAATGATTTCCTCCAGTCCCTCGCTCTCTGTTCCGCAACATTTGTCTGCTCAAGGCAGACATACTATTAGCTGTGACAGTGTTCTTTGATATTTCTTACAAATCTCACTTCTGTGATTTATCTTTCCATGAACTCCTCATGCTTCCCATTACTTATTCCAGCATCTGTTGCAAAAATCTTTCATAATTTTGGAGAATGGGTACATAAATTCTCTATTTAATTTTACCACAACTAATTTTTGTCTTCTCAATGTCTATTCCCATGATGCTAATAACACTTTGTATTTTGTTTTATAATTTTATTTTATAGAGAGTTTATGTTCCATTAAAGGAATACAATACTGTTTCAGTGTGAACTTCAAATTTGCAGAATATGTAAATGCATCTTTGTTATTCTTCCATATCCAATTTCACCTGCACTTTTTTCATCAATGGCCTACTCATTAGAAACATAGCAAATAGATGCAGCAGTAGGCCATTCGGTCCTTCGAGCCTGCACTTCCATACAATATGATCATGGCTGATCATGCACTTTCAGTATCTCACTCCCACTTTCCAATACTCTTTATCCCTTTAGCTGTAAGGGCCACATTCAGCTCCCTCTTGAATATATCTAACAAACTGGCCCCAGCAGCTTTCTGTAGTAGAAACTTTCATAGGTTCACAACTTTCTGAGTGAAGAAATTCTTCCTCATCTCAGTCCTGAATGGCTTACCCCTTATTCTTAGTCTGTGACCCCCAATTCTGGACTTCCCCAACATCAGGAGCATTCTTCCGTATCTAGCCTGTCCAGTCCCATCAGGATTCTAAATGTTCCTATGAGATTCCTCCCCACCGCCGACCACATCATTCTTTAAATTCAAGTCAGTACAAGCCCAGTCGACCCAGTCTTTCAGACAGAAATTCAGAGAGAATGAGAGTTAGATTTCTAATAACCTTTTCCAACTTGTCCTGCTGTATTAATATTCTGTTATAGTCTCCTTTTCATTAATGGTTAGTAGGTTTCGAGCTAAGTCACAAGGTCTGATAATAATGCACTAGTAATTTCCATGTGCAGTATTGCACTCTTCTCATCATTAGTAAAGTCTCTCCAATTCCAACTGACACAACTGGAGGTATGAAACTCTGGTCCCAATTAGATATTTCCAAAAAATGCCAAAATGTGCAGTATATTTCTATTGCTTTAAATTCAATATCTATTGCTCATAAAATGTAAACAAAACCAAATCAAAGCAAGGATTTACATTGTTGGACAAGTTTATCAAGTCACAGGTTTAGAAATTTGGGTGCACCCTTTACTGCAAATACAAAGGTCTCAATACACGTTCCTGCAGCAGACTCAGCAAGAGGAATTTTTTGTTATTTTCTATATAATGGGCGTTATGTTTCTAGCTTTCAACGTGCATCCATGTCCTTCATGCTATACTGAGGCCATTATTACTCCAATAAAATGCAGAAAATTGCTGTGCAATCAAGTTTCTTAGCCATGATAGTCTCACCTTGATCCAGTGATAGACTGAAACCCAGTTTTGTAGATTGCCACTCCTTTTAAATATGATTGATTTAAGATCAAATCAATTGTCTTTACTACCTGTTTTGCAAAAAAATATGCTTGCATACATTTAATTCTTTTCCGGTATAGAATAATACGTATTTACATCAAACTTGTGGTCAAAATTTCAACAGAGACACAGACTCAGATGAAGACATTTTTGAGTGTAAAACACAGAAGCCCAGCCATCAGCACTGGTGGACAAATATATTACCTGTGTTTCAGCTACCATGTTTTCATCAGGCTTCAAATGAATAGTGAAAGCTTCTCTCATCTCTCTCACTCCATCAAACACAACCTCTATCTCTATAAAATGTTCAGCCTCCCCTTCTTTAAACTCGATATCTGAAATAAAAGGCACAGAAGAAAATCAGGTTCTCCTTTAAAGTTTGATAATATCTTCTGTTCTTCAGGTCCGATTCTGATATGCATTAATATGTATGAAAGAGCAATTGCTCTGAAAAGGTCTAGTCAGTTCATGGTGGCAGTATTAACATAAACCATTCACGGAAATGGGACACTTTTAAAATACTTTTGAAGCTACTTCAAATTATTGATCATTACCACTTAGCCTACAAAACCACGAAGATTTCCATTTTTATTTGTAACATTGTAACAATTTGGGTTTCGTTTACATATTATGAGCAATAGATACTGAATTTAAAGCAATAGAAATATACTGCACATTTTGGTATTTTTGGAGATATCTAATTGGGACCAGAGTTTCATATCTCCAGTTGTGTCAATTGGAATTGGACAGACTTTAATAATGAGAAGAAACCAATTCTGGAATTACTGACCCCATTCCCATTTATGGCAATTTCTGCTTCAGGTTAAGGGCATGTGGAGGACATGAAGGATTTCTAATCTTGCTGGCTCCATTGTAGGGGTGGGCATTTCACATTCCACAACTCTGATGTAGTTGGACCAGCGTTTGCTGGAGGTAAGATTTACTGCTCATCAGAGAATTTGTGAAGTCTTAGTCAAGTCCTGAAGTTTTTGACAGATGATTTTAGATGCATATGATAAAATATTTACTTACATTTAAGTCATAGTATATTTTCAATGCAGCAGTTAATTGTAGGGCTATATTGTTAAAAGGTAGGACAGTATTATAAAGACATCAGCATACTTTTACCAGTGCAAAGAAGTTTCTTCTGCATTCTACAGAATTCCGCTTCAGGAGAATTAGTTATTAATTTATAGTGGGGGGCCTGTAGCTTGATTTTCACATTGATTAAATGGGTTGAGCCATTGAAGAACTTTTATTGGTTCTGCACGTAGTGAATACTATAAGTCATACACTTGTAAGTTTTTGAACTGCTTATGAAATTAAACAAAGATCAACTATTCAAAAGTCTCTAACACTGCCTCTCCTACATAAAACTGCCAAGCAAACACAGTGTAAGCCCCATTGAAGAAACCTTTAATTCTCTTAGTATCTCTTAATCTTGTCCAGGTAAACAAACAAGGTTTGAAAAACACTTCAAAGAAAGATAAGCTTATTAGATGCAGATATAGAGATGGTAGGAACTGCAGATGCTGGAGAATCCGAGACAACAAGGTGCAGGGCTGGATGAACACAGCAGGCCAAGCAGCATCATAGGAGCAGAGAGGCTGACGTTTCGGGCCTAGACCCTTCATCAGAAAACCCTTTTCTGATGAAGGGTCTAGGCCCGAAACGTCAGCCTCTCTGCTCCTATGATGCTGCTTGACCTGCTGTGTTCATCCAGCCCTGCACCTTGTTGTCTCGGATTCTCCAGCATCTGCAGTTCCTATTATACCTGGAACTCCAGTTGTGGTCAACCTGTCAGCCATTCCTGCTGGTACAATAGGAAATCCAATGAGGAACGTCTATAATAAACTGAAATTAAGGACTGGAACTCTGGATTATCCAAACCTCTCACATGCTTGCTACATGACTGTGCCAACCAATTAGAATGGTTATTAGGCCATGCTAGATTACAAAGCCATGGGCCATCCTGCAGCAAAATGGCCACAGCCATATCTAAATAAAAACCAAAAGAGCTGCAGATGCTGTAAATGAAGAACAAAAACAAAGTTGCTGGAAAATCTCAGCAGGTCTGGCAGCATCTGTGAAGAAAAAAAAGTTAACATTTTGGGTCCAGTGATCCTTCCTCAGAACTGATGGTGGCTGGGAAAATGTCAGTTTATATGCAGAAAATAGGGAGGGGGATTGGGTTGGGTGTAAATGATAGGATAGAGCCGAAAGAGAGAGAAGAGCAGTTGGACAGACAAAGAGCTGATAACGATCAGGCTAGGAGGGTGAACACAACCTGACAACCTGTCTTCTGTCCGCTCCATGCTCCCCTCCAGCCCCACCACACCCAACACTTTACCCTGCAACCGCAGGAAGTGCTACACCTGCCCCCATACCTCCTCCCTCACCCCCATCCCAGGCCCCAAGAAGACTTTCCACATCAAGCAGATGTTCACCTGCACATCTGCTAATGTGGTATACTGCATCCGCTGTACCCGTTGTGGCCTCCTCTACATCAGGGAAACCAAGCCTTGGCTTGGGGACTGCTTTGCAGAACACCTACGCTCGGTTCGCACTAAACAACTGTACCTCCCAGTCGTGAACCATTTCAACTCCCCCTCCCATTCCTCAGAAGACATGTCCATCCTGGGCCTCCTGCAGTGCCACAACGATGCCACCTGAAGGTTGCAGGAACAGCAACTCATATTCCGCTTCAAAATCTCCCCTACCCCTACTGATCCCAAAACCAGCCCAGCTCGTCCCTGCCTCCCTAACCTGTTCTTCCTCCCACCTATCCCCTCCTCCCACCTCAAGCCCCACCCCCATCTCCTACCTACTAACCTCATCCCGCCCCCTTGACCTGTCCGTCCTCCCTGGACTGATCTATCTCCTCCCTAACTCCCCACCTACTCTCACCTTTACTGGCACCATCCCTGCCTCTTCGACCTGTCTGTTTCCTCTCCACTTATCTTCTCCTCTATCCATCTTCTATCCGCCTCCCCCTCTCTCCTTATTTATTTCAGAACCCCCTTCCCCTCCCCATTTCTGATGAAGGGTCTAGGTCCGAAACGTCAGCCTTCCTGCTCCTCTGATGCTGCTTGGCCTGCTGTGTTCATCCAGCCCTGCACCTTGTTGTCTCATCTTCTCTCCCTCCTATCCGGTCCTCCCACCTCACTGACCAATCCCCACCACCCCCTACCTGCACTCACCCATCACCATCCCATCTACCTTCCCCGGCCCCACCCCTCCTCTCTATTTATTTCAGAGCTCCCTTCCCCCCTCCCCCATTTCTGAAGAAGAGTCCCGACCTGAAATGTCAGCTTTCCTGCTTCTCTGATGCTGCTTGGCCTGCTGTGTTTCTCCAGCTCCACACTGTGTTTTCTTAGACACCACGTTACTTTGTGAATCTCAAGACACGACCCACACAGTCTGAGGGGAACAAAACTGCCTGGAGATCTGTCACCGATTCTGAGCCGTGGATCAAAAAGTGGATAAAATGTAACAGTGGAGGAAAAGGAAGATTATTATGTGTGACCCAGAGGAGCTTGAAGCACTCACCTTCCTGTTTCCTGACCTGAAGCTGCACGGGTGGAGAGGTGCCCCTGGGGTCTGTGTTGCAGCATGAACAAAAAAGTAAAACGTATTTGACTGTCTGGATGTTTCATACTCATCTGAAGACAGTTTGCTGAACAGAAAGCAATTCCTGAGTTTTTCCAGAGCCAACTCCCAATATTTTTTGGTCTCTTTTACAAGGCCAGGCTACTATAAGGTGTGAACGAATTGAAAATGTATGGGCTGAATCTTAAGATTTTTTGGCGAGATATCAATTTTGTTGAGTTTTTTTTTGGAGGGTTTCTGTCTGCAAGTCCCAGCAAAATCTCTCTCTACATCTTACCAAACTCTCCTCATTACCCACCTACCCTGCCCCTTTCACCTGAATCAAGCCCCATTCTACCTGTTCCCAGAACAAATCACCATTCACTAGATCTCCACTGAAAGACCAGTGTCCCATGCACCCACACCATCTTTCAGAGGTCATTGTGCACCTTAACAATCACTGGCAACCCAGTGTCGGCCCTCACTGGCAGTACAATGGCACAGCACCCAGCGCTGTCTTGGCTGTCTTTCCCTGGCACATACAACCCCATTCTCTCACACTGTCACTGTTTAGCCACCAGGTCACACAGTTCACCGATTCCCAGTGACATCCCATCTCAACACTGTCTCGGCATCAGCTCTGTCCTGCCCCCAGTGGCCCACTGGAGATCTGCAACTTATCATTGTCCAGCTGGGGAATGTCACAGACAGACAAGCAATCGCTCCAAACATGAGCTTTTATTGATCGATAGCGAAAGGCAACACAAACAAAACAAAGAGAGGCTGCAGGTCACTCCTACAACACAAACTGGATTGCAGCATCATGCTCAATAACTAGTGGCCATTCCACAATGGCCTGTCTGCTGTACCCAGCTCCCAGCGACTGGAACCAGGCCTCCTCAGCTAGCTCCTGGCTGGACTACAACACCCCGCAACAGCTGAGCTCTGTCCTGGACAGGGAAAGCTCCCTCCTGCCCAGTGTGATAATCCTGCTTCTCCTCAGGAACTGCTCCCGTTCCCCCCGTTCCTCATCATCCTGCACATCCCCTCATTGCCTGCTCTAATTGTACAGAGCACAGTGCGCCAGGATGGTGCAGCACACACTGCCTGGACTGTACTGGACTGACCCCCCACCCTCCCACTCCGAGACCGGTCCAATCAGTGGGACCCACCTTTAGCAGGCCCATTGTCTGCTCTCCACATGCCTCTGGGCGAAGCCTGGGCAGCATGGCATCTGTGCCCCACATCAGTCAGGGAGCTGTGTAATGGTGTCAATGAGCCCTGGTCACGGTGGGTGGCCCTTGTCCCCTGCTAACCACATTGTAAGGTCCCTGGACTCTCAACCACAGCAGGTACACAGGGGTGCTCCAGGATTTAGGGGTCATGGCAGCTGCCAGGGTAGTGGGCACACACCTTCAGGAGATGGTGATGATGATCACAGATCACCTGAACATTAATGGAATGGAACCTCCTTCCTGGGGATGAACGCTGCAGCGTTGTGACATGGCCCTCTCTGCGTCACGGGTGGATAGTCAATGCCATCCTGACTCTGGGGGGGCGCCAGCTCTGTTCCCGAATACTCCTGCCCGTGCTGCAGCACTGATCCCGTCATGGGAGAACAAAATGACCCAGTGTGATCTCTCACAGCTGGCATCGGGCACCGTCCTGTTGTATTTGTGGGGCATAACTGAGGGATTCCACCCAGGTCACCCATCATTCCCTGGAAGTAACCACTCACAAGAGACAA